CCGATGGACTGGAAAGAAGGACACCTCGTCAAGATTCCAAAGAAAGGAGATCTGAGCAAATGTGAAAACTACAGAGGCATTACACTACTGTCAATACCAGGGAAAGTCTTCAACAGAGTGTTGCTGAACCGGATGAAGGATGCAGTAGACGCCCAACTTCGAGATCAACAAGCTGGATTCCGTAAGGATCGGTCGTGCACAGACCAAATTGCAACACTACGGATCATCGTCGAACAATCAGTTGAGTGGAACTCATCACTATACATCAACTTCATTGATTATGAAAAGGCATTCGACAGTGTAGATAGGAGGACATTATGGAAACTTCTTCGACACTACGGAGTTCCTGAGAAGATTGTCAATATTATCCGGAACTCATACGACGGACTACAGTGCAAAGTAGTGCATGGAGGACAGCTGACAGATGCATTCCAAGTAAGGACTGGAGTCAGACAAGGCTGTTTACTCTCTCCCTTCCTCTTTCTTCTGGTGGTCGACTGGATTATGAAGACCTCGACATCTGAAGGAAAACACGGAATACAATGGACAGCTCAGAATCAATTAGACGATTTGGACTTCGCAGATGACCTAGCCCTCCTATCACGTACACACGAACAGATGCAGATGAAGACAGCCAGTGTAGCAGCAGTCTCTGCATCAGTAGGCCTCAGCATACACAAAGGGAAAACCAAGGTCCTCAAATTCAAGGCGGAGAACAGCAATCCAATCACTCTTGATGGCGAAACTCTGGAAGATGTAGAGTCCTTCACATACCTAGGAAGCATCATCGATGAACAAGGAGGTTCAGATGCAGACGTAAAGGCGAGGATCGGCAAAGCAAGGGTCGCATTCCTACAATTGAAGAACATATGGAACTCAAAACAACTTTCAACCAATATCAAAGTGAGAATCTTCAATACGAACGTCAAGGCAGTTCTACTGTATGGAGCTGAAACTTGGAGAACTACAACAACCACCATCAAGAAGGTACAAGTATTTATAAATAGCTGTCTACGCAAGATACTCAACATCCATTGGCCGGATACCATCAGCAATAGCCTTCTGTGGGAGAGAACAAACCAACTTCCAGCTGAAGAAGAAATTAGGAAAAGACGATGGAAATGGATAGGACATACATTACGCAAATCGTCAAACTGCATCACGAGGCAAGCCCTAACTTGGAATCCTGAAGGGAAGCGGAAAAGAGGAAGGCCAAAGAACACATTACGTCGGAAATAGAAGCAGATATGAAAAGGATGAATAACAACTGGAAGGAGCTGGAAAGGATTGCCCAGGACAGGGTTGGATGGAGAATGCTGGTGAGCAGCCTATGCTCCTTCCCGAGGAGTAACAGGCGTAAGCAAGTAAGTAAGTAATGGTTATGAGAGCATACAAGTTTATGGTAATTTATACTCAAGTTTAGCGGTTGGTACTTGACACTAATCCACTTGTCTACATTTTCGAAATTCGGCCTCTTATGTACAGAATGTGATTATGTTTCAGTCACATCGGTAAATTATCATCCTTGATTTCCACTTGATTTACGCTGAACATAAGGTCCTTCATTTCATAGATATACATTACAATTCAGTGTAGTAGACTAGAAATGCCGTTTATCACTCACTATGTAATTCCTTCGAAGCATTTCTTTAAAAGCTTGGTAGGAAAATTTTCTTTTCTTCTACAGATTTATAAATGATCACATTCTAATGATTGGAACACACTCGGAATCGGCTGAACGAAATATATTTTCCAAATATGGTTTACATTATTCATTCAATAAGTCATCTGGAACATAAAACAAAGCAGATATACGCATTGTATTAAGTTGCCATACTATATTAGCACAACGAGATGAAATGTTCGAGACATATCTTGGACTAGTAAAATTAAAAACAGTAGAAAACATAAGGTACAGATGATATAATTCGAAAAAAAATGAGGTCATGGAATTAAAAAATATCTATTCAAATTAATTGAAAACAAGCACAATCAATCACATATATGAAAACAAATAAAAACACTGATACTATAGTTCCCGTTATTATGTGTTCGCTGTTTCGATTATTTTCTTCCTAGTTGTAAATAACTGTAAGTACTCCGTGATAACATTAAAACTGATATAACGGATAGTTTAAAAATATTTCACTTTCAATTTTACTACGGTAAAATGGTAATGAGATTGGTCACGCAATATCAGATCAAAGATTGACCACAAAAAATAGAGAACCAGAGTGAAGGCTAGATAATACTTTATTCAAGACTTACAAGTAGTCACTCTCAGTGAGTCTGAAGTAGAAATGAATGAGAGGAAAGGAAATGACATATATAATCGTTAGTAGGCTAAGTGCCTGTTTGTTTATGCTCAACCACCAATTATATTTTACTCACAATACAACACATCAAAAACCATCAAGTATGAAGTATCAATAGTGAAATTCAACTTCTGCTTCACATTATTATATTCACTGTGACAAATATCCTTCCAAAACATATATTACATATCTTTTCAAACAATTTATATTTATACCTCTAAGGTTTTCCATGCTAGATTAGTTAGTGAATTAACCTCATCATACCTGTACACCAGCATGGATTATGTAACTGTTTTCAGAATATTTATTTAATTGATGATTCATAGTGATAGTTAAATTAATAGTGATGTTCAAGTATGGAAGATCTGATCTTTGTAATGACTTGTATGCACTCCTTATTACGTTCAAAGTGAGTTCATTCTGTACACTCAATAAGTAACAAGTGCAAATAAATCGCTTGTAACGTAGATCATTCTTAAATATATGTGTTTGGATTACCTGTACATCTATTATCTATAATAGAATATACATTATTCGCTTTATATGTAAACTGAATCACCTTTTATCGTCCGTCTACTACTCATGTGCACGTATAAAATATAAGTAGGTATTCAAAATGCATTTCATATTCGACTTATATGAACATGATAAGTCGACAGAAAGCATGTGAATTTCAAAACAATAAATATCCCATTAGTATCAGTATCCTCCGATCATCGTGAAATCAACATAGTGCTTCATCTTCAAGTAGGAAATTTCCACCTCACCAATTCTAAAAAAACTCGATTGATACAGACTTGTAGTGTCAGTTATTATGCCAAGCCCATATACCTTATTCTAGCTTTCGGACATCCCATTTTATTCATTCTACCCCAGCCATACTTTGACCTTGTTATTTATTCGCTTATCAATCTAGATTGTTTTTATATGAGCGTATATGTGTGTGCCGTTCTTATCCTATTAATCACATGTCTGTAGCTTTGTTTTGTCTGACTATAAATATTGAGTAACGCTTGATTAAAATGGAGTTGGCTTCCCAGCCATCTTCCATACGTGTCATTTTGCTTTGCTGTTTCATTCGCTTCATGTACCAAAATATATGTATTCATAAGTCAATTCTCGTTATTCGACTTATTTAATTCCGTTATTGACTAACGCAATTCAAGTCGACAATGATATACGAGAATAGGCGATAGCAATCATTCGTACGATCTAAATGGAGTCAGATCAACGGGCCACTAAAGACTATTATATCCTAACGAAGAATAAATGAATGGTAGCTGCTAGGAATTATTTATAGACTATTATTACATATATTCCTATTGGATTATTATATTATATGGATATTCATATTCCTTTTATTATAAGCTTTTATTTGACCTATTAATTACTATTATACAATTTACTATTCTTAAGTTATCCTCAATCTATTAATCACAGCCTCTCACATTTACAACTACTTTTAGCTTGATCTTGGATAATTGTTATTTTCTATTTTGTGGTATGATGAGGTCTGATTTGCTTGTATATAAACTAAGTATGTCTAAAATGCATCATTCCTACAGTGGAAGCTGATATTGATGTTCTGGACTCAAACAGACAGGGTTAGGCAAGAAGAACCATAAGAACTGATAGTTAACTCTAGACTGCTTGTACTGGTTAACGCATCATTGGTTTGGGATAGTGTCAAAGTCACACATGATAATTAACCGAATAAAAGTCATAACACAGACTGAGTATACACAAAAAGGAAGAAAAACACTGAAATCTAATCGAATAAATATATAATTTTTTCCATATCTCATTTGATGCAGAAAGTTTAATTATCCTAAACATGATTATTATGTTATTAAGTACAAATATGAGAAATCACTAAAAAATAAACAAAACGAAATGTACTTTATTATCGTGTAAAAGACAAAGAAAAAAGACAATCATCACATTACTAAACACATAAGCACAAAACAAAAATATAAAGATTAGAAAAAAAGGTGATTTCTAGTCGTATTACTTAGAAAAAGGAGTATATAAGTGTATAAAATACAAATCTATCTATCTATATCAAAAGCCAGAAGAAAAAAAAGAGAAAAAGAAAACAGGGAAAAAACAAAAATTGGTTCCACCTACTTTATTTGTATAATAATTTGTTAATTATTACATTGGAGAAACAAACAAACAACAACACGTTATGCCATTGAATATTCCCTGTGTTTTCATTGATAATACATTGGCGTTGAATATACATGTATATATCTTGTTCAATTGACTGATTGTGTGTGTGAGAGAGAGAGTGAGTGATTCATTAAAATAGTAAAATCTGTTAGAATATTAACTGTTAAAACAATTGTATATTTCTAATGAAAATTTTATTCTATGAAATGAAAAATGTCGTTGCCGTGATTCAATAATGATTGTTCTCGTTCGGTACAAATAACAAATGAATTGACCAAGAAAAAGAAAATCAATGTACAAATAACTCAATAGAAAGAGAAAACAAAACGAAACAAATTACGTAATAGTAACAACAACAACACAATATGTAGTAGGCAAGATAAACAAATAAATGAGTGAAGTAGAACAAAGAAATTAAACTAACTATTTATATAATTTAAATGAAAGAATGACAATTTTGAACAAAAAAAATAGGATAAACATTGAAAAAAAAACATTATATAAGTTTGGGTTTTAAATCATATTATTGTTATTATGACTGCTTAAATCTTCGAATCCAATAGATGGTCGGTTACCATGTAAATTAGGCACAGTAAGATGCATTGGTTGTGATGACTAAGAATAGAGAGAGAGAGAAAGCAGATAGGACAGAAGTAAAAGGGTGAGATATTTTCATGTTTACAAGTGAATTTTAGGTGCTGACATTACATGCCTAAAGAAGTGAATGATAGTGTATGATGTTGAAGTAAAATTTCGTTGTGAATTGGTATCACTTATGTGAAGCAGTAGACAATCGTTTTGTCCTAGTATGGAACTCCTCTGCAATGTGCGTGCACTCACAACCCTCTTCAGGATAGAACTTAGTATCCTTAAATCCTACGGTTAGCGTGTTACCATTTAGATCACTGAAGAGACATATAGTGGTCTACATTTCCAACTATTCTCGATGTAGCGTAGTAGGTAACTGTTTTACTGCTCACATCAGACATAAAGCCTTGCTACAACTATAGCTGATCACAAAGTCAATCATTACTGAACAAATGCTTAGTGTTTAGTCAAAAGATTTGTAGGGAAGTTACCTGATAACCATCCCTAGATAAATCCGATTTCAACTCATCTCTTCAAATCCCTCAGATAAATGTCCAATATATTTAATCCTATCTAAATTTGACAAACAACAGTCTGATGTTTTAGTTTGAAGCTCTCTACCAGAATGTACTATTGTTCATGTGAAATGGAATTCAAGACCTTTAAACTACAAAGCAAATTTGTTATCACTGTGCTGTTGAGTTAGAAACAGATGACCAATATTTGTAGACTAATGTACGCTAGCGATGTAATATGACCGTTATTATCGAAAGGATAAATGAATAACGATACTTATCATAGTTTCGATTGATTACACATATCACAGTATAGATTTATCACAAAGTTTAATATCATCAAACTAGAGCGGAACTAATAGCTATTCCCTTATTATTTGTTTTTTGAAAAAAGAAAACTAGGAGTGATTACAATGAAACGTATGCAATGGAAAAGAGATATCATTAAAGGGAAGTTTTTGCAATGTTCCATAAATTTTCTATTTACAATACTTAACTGTGAGCAAACATATATTCAATTAAACGATTTTTACTCTCAGTAAAAAGGCGAATACAGCAAAGAAATATTTCTTTTCAATCAGTTTTTCATCATGGCTTCATAGTAATGTGTACATCTTTAATAATATTAAAGAAATATACTCTTTGTCAGTAAAATCCAAGTCGCTTTTCTAAATAACTGACTTTATATACATGTTTAAAACTCATAAATTAGTGTTACACATACAGATAACTATAATAATTCTGAATCGCCTCCTAATATGATAGGTTTTAATATAACCGTTCATTGATGAGTAATACCATTAGATACAAGCTCAGTGGTCTAGAGGTAAAGCGTTCGCGCGAGACGAAAGTTCATCGATTCGAGTCCCGAGTGCGGGATCGCTGATGAGCACTGTCAAGGAGTCCTATACCAGAACGAAACGGCCGTCAAGTGCTTCCGGGTTTTCAATGGTGGTCTAGCTTAGATTGACTCATGAATTCAGCCATTAAAACAAATATGTTAGAATACAGGCTAATAATACACCGTTCAAAATGAAAATACTTACCAGTGTAACAGGTGGTAGCCTTTCAAAACTCACATATTTATAAACAAGCGATTGAGAACAAATTTCATTTCTATCAATATTTCCTTCTTGATCGTTGTTCTCAATCACTTCATTATTGATATTACAATTACTAGATTGAAGTTTCTCATGTTGTTGTTTTAACATGAAAATTTTCTGAAAGTTTACATCTTTTGTAATCGCATTATTATATTGTTGATTGCCAACTTCTGCATTTAAAATAATTGCATTTGTAATATTGGTTTCATGAACTATTTGCTTTCTAACACGTTTAGGGACATCCGGTACAGCTGCCATGATCACATTAGTTAGAATAGTCGCTATAGTCTATTATAATTAATTAATAATTATGGTCATAAAGATTAATACTATATATATGCATTATATGTTAAACGAATAAAGATTTCTGGGTTTTATTAAAGCGATTTTCTTAAAAACTTGATATTAGTTAAACAGTTATAAAGAATACAAAAGCTTTCTGTTGTTACTTTCAGCTCGCCAATCGGAATACGACTTATACAATTCTAGCACTGTGTCAAACCAATGACGTATCGACCGGTATGAGCAACCTAACGTCCTTACTGGTCCTTTTCCCTCATAACCAAGCCAATTGAGTCCACAACACCAATAAGAGCTTCAACTATACGAGTCATTTATTGCAAACACACCTGATTTATACGCAAAATGGACCACATCACATCATAAATTAGGAAATAACATTTGTACAAGACCAAAAGAAAAAGTGGCTGTGAACGTAGGAGACTGTAATTACTAAACTCAGCCAGTTAAAACATAGGACCAGGCACATATATGCATCGGTCCAAGTTGCCACATCGTATTAGCACAACAAGATGAACACCAAATTCATAGAAGTAGTCACTTCAATGGTAGTAACGTTCAAAAGACAGATTGTGTATAAGGATATAGTACAGGAAGACAGAATTAGTTCATAGAAATAAAGGTATACAGCAATTTTGATCTCACGGTTTAAAGGAAGAGAAAGAGTGTATACACATACACCACTGTGATCGATTCTGAGCCATGTCACCCAGAGTCTCCAACCATTGGTTAGGATAGTCACGCGGACCCCAACCAAGTAGTCTGCATCTACCAACATGGCTAAGATTAGAAGTTAGTGACGTCAAGCACTGATGCCACGTTTTGATTTGGCCGCCCCTAAATTACTTCCAACCGTCTTCAACACTAGTCAGCATTGCGCGTCGTGGTAATCGGTGTTCAGGTATACGTGACACGTGGCCCAACCGTCTCAGTCGATGAAGATTCACAACCTCACCAACTGATTTACCATCATTCCCTAATACCCTGCGTCTTGCTTCACTCTTACTTACTCGGTGGTCCCAGCAGATGCCAATAATATTTCTAAGACATCTGTGATCAAATACTAGTAGCTTACCTATATCTTCTACTTTTAATGGCCACATTTCGCAGCCGTGAAGTAGAACAGAACGAACTGCCAAGCAGTATACTTTTCCCTTAATTGATAGACGGATATCTCGCCCTCACCATAAGTGTCGTCAGTTGGCAAAGGTCAAACGAGGTGTCTGAATCCGCGATGAGATTTCGTTAGATATCAACCCATTATGGCTGGTCAGACTTCCAAGTTAAGTGAAGTTATCGACACGTTCGACTACTTCACTCCCTATCCTTAGTTCAGATGTTGATGCAGGCCAGTCCTGAAGCAACAACTTGCATTTAGAGGGAAAGAAACGCAACCCAAACATTCTGGCTATTAATAAACTGGACATAACTTAAGAGCAGTAAATCGTATAATAATAATTTATAGGTCAAAATCAAGCTTAGAATAAGAGGAATATAAACATATATAATCTAGCCACTCAGTAGTTATAATATAAGAATATACGTATAGTATTAGTCCATAAATGGATCCCAGCAGTTACAATCCATTATTCTTGTCGGGATATAACACTTTCACTGATTGTTCGGTTTACTCACTAGTCATTATATCTTATCATTGCATTAGTATAAGAATGTGTTTGTGGTTACTGTAGTAAATTAACAAAATTATGTACTTGGATAATTCTACATCTATGAGTGTCCTATGATCCTTCATGAGGGGTAATAGGCGTAAGTAAGTAAGTTAATTATGATCTCTTCGTAATAATTATTATGAATTACAAAAACAATAAACTAGCTATACACTTGGTAGAGCTGACAGTTATAGGAGTTAATTGTATTATGCAGTTCACTATTGAACTTCTTCACTAAACTGCCTGTTTTTATTTAGTCAATGGTTTTTTTTTCTTGACCAATTATCCAGTGACTGTGAATGATAACCAGAGATTCTTAATACTTTTTTGTTATATCCCGATAAGAATAATGAATGGTAACTTTTGGGATTCGTTTATGGACCAATATTATGAGTATATTTTTATCGTATAATTGTTATGTAACTAAACTGTTCATATTCATGTCGCTCTTATTATAAGCTTTAATTTGACCCATAGACTATTACTATACGATTTACTGTTCTTGAGTTATGGCCTGTCTATTAATTACTATCTCCCCCATTCACAGCCACTTTTGGCCAAATATTGTACAAATGTTATTTTCTATTTTATGGTACGTTGTGGTCTGTTTGATTGGTATATAAACCCCGTATGTTTGAAATAAAGGATTCATATTGAAGAAGCTGAGATTGGTGTTCTGAACTTAACTAGACAGGAAGCGAAACCAATAAGGACTCACTGGTTCGATCGGTAATTCGCTGCTCTCTGATTGGCGGCATCATTGCGTTATACAATAAACAGGGCACATAGGTTCACAAGTTATAACATTTTTAATCCATGAGATCTATTTGATCTAATGGAGTCCAATTAAATGATGAAAATACTATGTAGATGAATTCTCTATTGTAAACTATTAATCCATGATTTTAAAACTTATAATATGCTTTAAATGCTTGAGCGTAATTCAACACAAATAAGAAATTACACAACTCAATCATATAAGATATAAAAGCATAACAATAAGAAAATAACTAATTAATGATAAATCCAGAACAGTGACATAAATAATAATGTATTTTAGGATATCTATTGGATTGTATATAATTAATAGCAAATTCTAAGCTTGTTTTCGCTTCTGTGAGACGTGCATTAAACTTCAGAAACTCATTGAGTGTCTTAAATGCAACAGGGTCCTCATGCGATTTTAGAATATTAAAGATTCCCATTGTGAAAATTAGAACAACACATATAAGCGAACAATTGTTTTCAATTAGATCGTCATCAGGCTTTACTCTAATATACATGAATATTTATACGAGTCTATTTACCCACGTTTAACCTTCTATCTCCAACGTTTTACTAATGATAAGACTTCTGTTATCGTATTTTATTATTCTTACTACTATCAGTACACCTTTCTTCCTACTATCAATTTGTATTTTTACCTGTTATTCTATTTTATTGTGATTATTGACCTAAATTGCCTTGATTGGTTTAACATTTTCGTATAAATATTAGTGTATATTAGAGTAAAGCCTGATGACGATCTAATTGAAAACAGTTGTTCGCTTATATGTGTTGTTCTAATTTTCACAATGGGAATCTTTAATATTCTAAAATCGCATGAGGACCCTGTTGCATTTAAGACACTCAATGAGTTTCTGAAGTTTAATGCACGTCTCACAGAAATAAACAATAATGGTTTGTACATTAAACGAAAGCTCACACACAGGAAAATATAAAACAATAATAATTCATAAATCTTATAACTATACAGTGAAAAGATAAACATTATTTCTCCATAGAACAGTTCTGCAAGCTTATCCTTTGTCGAATCTTTTTTGATATAATAACAAAATTATCTAATTCACGTATTAAAGAATTAACTGGTCAGCAAGGGGGTGTGGAGATTGTTGAGCTTCATTGAGATCATGAACCAATCAATGTTAGGTTGTTTCGTGATCTCAATGGAACGTAAAAATATTCACAAGCCTATAGTGATAATCATCATGTAGTGACTAGTGACTAACTTCGACAGGTAATTCTCAGAGCTCTTCTCAGAAGCCGCGACCAGTGGAGTCCAACCATGTCTAGTGTATGGCAGTTACCTACCCAAGACAACAGAAAATGATTACACAACATCGTGAATTGATTGCAGTTGGAAATTAACACTGTTGAATCACGACTCAATGATCTGGAGGTTGAATGTTTGCGCGAGACTAATGATCCTGGGTTTGAATCCTGCGTGTGAGATAGTGGATGAGCACTGCTGAGGAGTTCGATACTAGAATGAAACGGCCGTTCGGTGCTTCAAGGTTTTCAATGGTGGTACAAATTTGGTCGATTCATGATCTCAATGAAATTAATTCATCGCTTTGTTATTTATTACTGTTATTTACATAATGTATTTGGCTTATACATATTTTTATCGATTAAGAAATATTATATGAATAATTTACAAATGAATTCTATCGAAAAGTTTGTACCGTGAGGGTAATATAATTATATAACAGAATTACTATTATAGGTGTTAAACACGAGTGTCACTAGATATCACATACCTAATAATTTTACTAAGATTAACTTTTTGATCCATACTAAAAAGGAATATGTACATTCAGTGGTCATTCAATGATGCAACTCATGAAGTACAGATTCGTTTATTCAACTTTGAGACTAAAATGAAGCCGGCTCGTGGTACTCAAACCTAAGTCTTGAGTGTTTGGAAGTCGATGCCTCTAAGTCATTTCTTCAAAAACATGGATTCTAACGACGTTTAACATCGGTGATCGAATGAGGACCGGTATATTCAAAGCCGTATGATCGCCGACTAACTCTATACAGTACACATCCAAGGTCTTAACGTAAATCAGATACAGTCACAGACAAAATCAACGTAAAAATCGAAAATGTAATTAGAAATATAGAAGTGTATACAACATATAAGTTGCAATAACCTAAATTAAATGAATATAAAAATAAAGTGAACCTCATTCAAGAAAGTAAAACGTTTAACTTACTTCAAAAGCAAAAACAAAAATGAATTTAGCTGCCAACACATGATAATAAACGGAAGTGAATACATATGGTTCTGAAGACCAAGGTGGTGAACGATAAGAATCATATCTTGTGTAAAACGACAAAAAAAACACACACACAAACACAGTAATATTTAAACAGAAAATATTTACTTTTACACAAGAAAAATCTATTTCAAGAAATTTTTTATCATGAAAAAAAAAAAACTTACTCTCATCAATAATCAATTTTATTAGTGACTAAAGGTTAAATACAAATAATGTATTCCTTTTGAATAGATTTAGACTGATGTTAATATCACTATTAATTATGAAAATAGTTTGTGAGCTTGCCAAAACATGGTCATTTTTTCTTAAATAATTTCTTTTAAACTAATTACTGTCTTATGCAGACACACCTAAACTAATGACCACATTGAAACTTGCTTGGTAGAATTCGATCTGCACTAAGAAGGATCTGACACACATGACATTGATCACTACCCAGTGACAACTAATTGTAAATACATTTCAGTCCTATAGGAGGTCATTCGCTGCTCTCACAGATCAGTGGTAACGTCTCTGACTGTGAAGCTGGGTGACACGAGGTCGAATCCTTCAAAAAGCTTCAGTTCCCTCAAGATTACAGGTACACCTTGCTGATGAGTACCAAATAGCACGAAACCTAGGTTTAAGCCTAGATTTAAAGTTTTAAAACACTCGCTATACATCGAAAAAAGAACAAAGTAATCGTAATTGATAAGACAATTTCTTGTATCGACGAGCCTACACACACTCTCTCAGCGCCAATGTTTATTTAACCTAAATAGTACAAAATACATAATGACAAATCAATCAATCGGATTAATCTGAAATTATTACAAGAGTTAAAATGTTGATTGAGGAAGTGATAATCTATGTAACAAGTGAAGTTAAACAATACTTGAATTTCAATAAACTAAATATAGGTAGTGAATATGCTATGGAATTTGTTATGACACGCAATGTCTTAAGCTAATACTGATACACGAAATTCCTCTATACGCAATCAATAAATTATTTTCAAACAAGTCAATCGACTTTGTTTGGCATTAGACACCTTAGATTAGTATATACTGCAAACAGAGGTATGAAACCAAACAGAAACACATTCGAATGGCTGGACAACTATATTTTTGAAATGTATACACACCTTAAAGAATGATACACATACATACAACACAGTTATCGTTCAAATTTAATAATACCTGCAATACGTTTCATTAGTTGGAACATCAAAACGAGTTGTAGACATATAGGAGAGAGTGAAATTCACAAAACCTTTCATAGTACCATCTGGACTATAAGTATAACGGTATACACATCGGTCAATAAACTGTGTAGTAAATGCAATAATACAAGCCTAGATTGAAATAAGGAAATAGAATAGAAATAAAAAATACATGGTTAATTTAGTAATCTTTATCAATCAGTATACAGTCACATTGTAACATGTTTAACAGACTTATTCAAAGAAGATAAAGGTGCAAGGCGTAAATGATAGCTTGTCTATTCAGTCACACAAAATTTCATTTCATCCATAGGAGTTTTTAAAATTCTAATGAACAGTTAAATACTTACATTCATTTTGTATCGTTTACTTCAGTTTTCCCTCTAATGTTTGGGGCTGCAATTGATCAGTTTCTTATGGACATATGTGCATCTTGTGCGAATTACCTTGATATTACCTCAAGTTATAAGTATTATAAGCAGAGATAGATAGTGACTAGTAGTGGAATCTAGGTCAAATCCCAAATAGGATGAAACGTTTGTCCTAGACTTCCACTGCTAGAAACCAACCATCTTTGCTTATAAGTTAATTACTTAGCTACATTTCACTTAACAATAAGTTAGACCCTTTACAAACTGTTATGATAACATAATCGAAATAATAATATTTACTGGAAAGTTATATAGATGAAACTTAAAAGAAAAAGTTGTCTGCGTTTGGAGATAGTTACTGGTGTGTAATGACCTATTTTTAGATATATTGTTTGTTTGACGGAATGAGACACTTTAATTCGGAATGTTTTGTGTTCACTTATCAATTAGTAAACGAAAATGAGTCGCCTCAAATTTTCTGTCAATACTTTAGCAACCATCTGTCTATCTGTAGATCAGAAAGAGGTAGTTTCCATGAAATTTCAAGAATATATGACAGGAGTCAAAAGTATCACAGTTTTACCAATGTCGTCATAGAAGGATGATATTATATTCGAACGAAAACTAAAGGGTTAGTAACTTCCAGGACTAATTAGTCGACTATTATTAAAAATATATTCCTATTATATAATTATTAGTAACTAGGCTACTATCACATATATATATATATTTCTATTAAAACGAGCTTTAGACTAGCCCACTAACCAATGTTTTACGATTTACCATTCTTAATGTATTCCTAATCTATTACTTACAGTCTCTCCTATTTTACAGCCAGTTTTTGGCTTGATCATGTGGTCGGGTATGTCCGTATATAAACTATTTATGCTTGAAATATAATATGGGTATAGTGGATTACTATGTTCTGGACTAAACGGGCGAGGCAGGGAGAGAAGTTGCCGAATCGAAGACCGATAAGAGATTAGCGTTGAGTCAACGTTATTAGTGCTGAACGGATTAATATTGATGTCTTGTCACGTGGTACTAATAAGGAGACATTAGTTATGACAAATACACATGAATTCACTGAAGAGCAAGAGATCTTCAAAATTCATATTATCCAGTCATATTATCTAGTCACGTTTATCTTGTATTAACATTTGGTCTATAAGCATGTAATTTTATTACTTGAAAAAAACTATTCTATTCGGGAAATGTTACATCTTGTAACAGCTATTCATTCGAAGGCTTACGTCAATAACTCTGTTTTGTGACCAGCTATCACAGGGTCATATTGTATCATTGAATGTTACCAATCGATTAACATTATATTTATCAAAATATATCCGAGCGTATTTACTTACAAATGATCCAATTCCAATCCGTTAATCAAGTTTCTCTAAAACTCCAACTAGGGAGTTGTTATGGACCAACAAATATCAGTCCTATAAAACTTCGTGCACACTACAGCATCGAATTGCAAAGTGACTATCTCTCCACTTTTCCTATTCAGTCCCTGCATCGGCAACCAATGCTCGATTTGGAAGATGCTGAGATGATATTTGTAGGATATATACAAGCCAATGAAGTCATTGTTCAAAGACGGTGATACTACTTAATGACCCCAAATACACACTGTCGGATCACAGTATGAGAACTGAAGGTCCTGAGTTAGATCTTGTGTGGAAAAAGCGAAGAAAAGGAAAGTGACAAGTATGAAAAGAAGGACTTACATTAGTTCGAATAGCAATGCTTGCGAGAACAGTAATGATCGACAACCATATACCTGAAAGAAAATAAAAGACGATAATTTAAAATGCATCTATAAACCAGACATAAAATGTTAATTTAATTACTAACTTATATGTTTATCAATCATTCATAAAGTATCGTAGAGATATAAATGATCACTATTTATTTATCAGCGAAATAGTATGAACGTTTTAAAATTGACACTAAATCGTATAATGATAGTGTTTAGTGATGGTCAATAGTAAAATCTCGCACATATATTTCATTCTATCTGTAAATTAGTAACTGGATAACTTTCCATCATGGAACTTTTGGTGCACAGCTAACCTGTTATGTTAATATTAAAATTCTTCATTTAATGAATGTTGATTCTAATGCTATGTGATTATGTACTGTATTTATATAACGGAACAAATGAAGATTGTTTATTTTGATATTAATTCTCAATACGAAGGGTTTTATAAAGTGTTCTTTCAATTGTGGATATTCTAGTCGGTTCATCATAATGAATAGTAAGTATTAACTAAACTTCAATTTGTTAAGATAATGAAGTTAATCAATCTGCCATTTTAGTAGAATGTTATGATACCATTAATTTATTCAAAAATAATAAATAGATACTGACACATTATATGACCATCGATTTTAAAGGTGATATAGCTACATACATTATAAGAGGAGGATTTCCAACTCACTCAGCAGAACGTTCTCCACAGAAATTTTGTGATTAGTATTCTCTAGCTAACCAGTATTCAACAACTATCGCTTTTGACCAATTCTATGTGGATTTTTCAATTTACCTGTTCATGCGAAGCCAGGCATCTAGGTCGTTCGATGAGTAGTTTATCACAAAGAATTCAAGAACAACACCTGGTTTGGCTGAAAAGAGGCGGAAATGCCTCAGTAAGAAGCTTTATAATCGAAAAGCTTGTTAACACAGATCACTCAACCAAAACGGACTATGCATTTAAAGTCCTTTACAAGTTAAGTAGAAAGCTATCAAAGGTAGTTAGCTCCTACCTTCATAGCATAGCCAAAGCACTTGTTATACCATTTAGAAAAATCAGAATTCTGAGTACAAAGAAAACTCAGACAGCCTGTTTTTCTACCACGGTCTTATTCTCCTATGATTTCTATTTTTCTCTCAACCGACTGCTTCCTTCCTCTCTTTTTCTCCATAAACCTTTTACCCCCAGATGATTAGTTTGTGTTTCTATGATCATTTTTGATCACAATTTTTTCTCGACCCCCATATTTTATCTTATCACCCTAAGCTTTCCCTTCCTAATTATAATCCATTTTCACTAACAACATCATTATTAGTTTCCTTAGTAAAAATAACGTTTTTATGCATTTATTTACTTTAATTCACTGTTATCATGTTTAGCAAAATTTCATTATCCCTATTATTACAATTATTATCATTTTGAAAATTAAGTATATAGTTACGATTGAATAACTTTGAAAATACATCCAACGAAAAGTGAACTCTTCACTGAATCAAACTTTCTTATTTTATATCTTAAAGCGTATATTTCATTTACATATGTATTAGTCTGAGTTGAGACACAATGAACCAATAGTGAGTGATAAAATTGTAAAGAAGAAAGGTCAAAATGTATTGAATCGAGCAATAAGAAACAACAATATCACTTACCAATTGTTTGAACTCTCTCAAGAACTGGACGACGATATTGATTCACTAATTTTTTAGCATCACCACGAATCTCAAACAGATTGTTTAATAAACCAAATAATGGTGCAAGTGGAAATGCAGGGACAAACATAGTGATGAATCCATATTGAATCACTAAAAAAAATTGATCATAAAAATACTTGTGAAAAAATGGAAAAACCTGTGAAGTAAATGAGAAGAAACCGAACTCTAGCTAAATAAGTCTATTATGTTGAACATATTCCCACTCCAAAAGACTGATCACTAGACGTGGAATTTTTATCACGACATATGCATGTTAAGTATAGCCTACTATGTCTTGGTAGGACTGACAAGTGAGGCAGTTTGGTTACGATATGTTTCACCTTGTTAATTTTGTCATCCACGCTATTGAATATAAACATTCTGGGTAAGATTTTATCCTTCAAATTGAATTAGGAATACGAGAAGACCTGGCCAACAGGTTAAGATGCACTACGTTAGAAAGTCATTCATTGGGTCGTATAGTCTTAATGTAAAGTCATATAAGTTAGGTATTCTTAGAAACTCTAGCCGACTGAGATTACTAGTTCAAAAAAATAAATAAGCTTAATACTGAGTATTTTATAATTCCATAAATTTTCTGTAGAAGTCAATTTATGAATTCTATCGTTATTCATTGTGTCAAATATAGAAACAAAGTTTAAATAAAACTTAGATTTGTCGTTATTATTTAATGAACACTTACAATTTAGTGCATTGTAAAATTAGCCAGGAAATATTAAGGTGGCTTTCTTAAGGGGCCACTTCCCGACCATTTAACCTAGAGGTCTAATCCACAAGGGAATGGAGCAACGTTAGGAGATGTAGTCCGATGATAGCCGGTGACAAACAATAGGTTCATACGCCATTTGTTCCCTCAGGATACTGGAGCTCATGTGTACCATTGGTTTGAAATCATGGTTTTCCAACTCCCGTAGGTGTGTCATACATGACACTATCAGTCGGTTTCCATCTATTTGATATATAATCTCAGATATAATAACATAAATAAGTAAATAATGTTGCCTTCAACCTACCACCAAAATAATATCAAGTAGAGAAAATAAATAATAATAAAAAAAAGAAAACGGAATCACTTACTCATTTCTAAGTACTCATTAAACAATGGTCTAGATCCAGGATCTAACATATTAAAATCAGCACGACATAGAATATTTCGTCCACGCAACGAACGATATTTTGCTGGTAAAAGAGAAGTAGTCACTGAATTCCGTTCATTATAATTTGTACTGTTCATATAATTATGATCAGCATGATTAGATGAACGTTTCATTGAACGAAATTTGAAAAATAATTTCCATAGAATACTAAATGGAATAAATAAAAGTTAGGCAAGAAATGAATGATAAACCAGAAAAATTATTCAATAAAGTATGATATAATAAATTAAAAAAGCGCAGAAAAAAATGATTATGTATACAAAAAGGCAACATGATAATGTAATGGTGAAGGTAGAAGCCTGCTTGAATATACGCGTCACCTGTTCCTTATCTGTTTCTTCGTTTCTTTTAACACATCATTACGTCTATTTTGAGTCGGCTTTTGGAGAACTTCAACGGAGCCTCCAGAGGCCCAAAAAGAGCCAAAGAGTCCTAGCCAATAAGAGCATGATGGAGCATTCTAGAATTCCAACGTGGCGTGCTACTATTGGTCAGTAGCATAATATGTCGTTAACAGATCGGCCGAAATATGGTGTTGATTTAACAAACGTTAACATCTATAAATACCCATGTTTTGCGTACAAAAACGAACCTTGAATTAAAGTGTTTCTCTCATACTTTGCGTCTTCTTTCTGGTGTTCAGGTTGCTGTATAGTTCTAGCGTGCGGGTTATCAGAATAGCTTAGGAACGAATATAGCGTCCGAATTAGCAAGACTTAACAGTCTATTAAGAGAATAACCTATTCAGGTGAGTTTATGAAAAGTTTACAACCTTTTACTCTACAACCTTCGAAAAACGCACAATCAAAGACATCGTGGTGGTTGGCAATAAACATTGAGAACAATCAATATTATTAAGATGTCGATTCCTGAACAACTAACATCTAACTGGCGATCAATAAATATTTATCATCAGGATCGATAAAGATATGAGGAAAGGAAACTTATCGAAATAATTTTTGCTGAGAATTCATTATTGTACCAAAATTATAATACTGGATAAAGCCATTAATAATAATAATAATAATAATAATAATAATAATAATAATAATAATAATAATAATAATAATAATAATAAATATTTGTAATTTTCGACAGTTAACATTCAAGACTGAAAATGAACAGTCTTTATTGACAAATGTGTATTCTATGAGGTACATTCAGCTGATGAATCTCAAATAGAACGAAACATACGTCCTAGATTCCACTGTTAATCATATACCATAATATCATTAATTAATCCTTACAAAACAGAAATCTGAAAAAGAATCTCATAGAATTTTCGTGTTGTTTTCAATGTTTATCAGATTACAAATAACTTGTTAGGGTAGCCCAATAGCTGTATAATATATACTACTCATAATGATTAAACATTTCTATTCTATCAGATTTAGAAAATCCTTCTACTGTTACCTCACTATTTTAAACTTCACTTGTCTGTTGAAAATCAAAGTCATGATATGTGTTTATATCAGAAAACATCACACCAGACAAGATTCATAGTAAAAATTTATCACTTGGTTTTAAATACAGTGGGTTTTTATATTAAAAAATTGAAAAGCAACTGCAGACTAGAGAAAAATGGACAAAATGTATATATTTACGACTCCATATAGGATATATACTTATTAATAATGGATAGTAATTAGTTTGATGAGTTTGTGCAAATAGTTACACTTGTAATGGACATCACAGACTGATATCAGTGGCATATTGATATAAGTTAGTGGTTAAACGTCAAACGCCAACCACGGAATTTGAAGAACATGGTTCCCATCTCCAATAGGGTTAGAGATTCATACTCCTGAGGAGCCCCATACTAAGACGAAACGGCTCTTCATTGTTTCCTGGTTTTCAATGACTGTCTAAATACAGCTGTTTAGTGATATAAACCATAAAAATGGATAGAAAATTGTTTGAACTTACGGCATTAAAGATTCTTGAATGAAACTAAATATTTGTTTACCAACCATAATTATAACTAGTTGTATGAATAATTCGAATAGACAATCACCTTGGTCACACTGTTTAAAAAGAAAACAGATGATAATAGAAATGCAAGTACATAACAGAAATAAACACAGACAAAAACATATTCATGAAGAAATTATGTTATTATGTACAATTCACGTTTTATTAAAATAGGAGATCTCCAGAATTCATTTGATTAAAGACAATTAAGAATAAACTGTGACTCTATTGAAAGCCTAAAAACGATGAACAGCATATAAACCATTACGAAACTCTTGGAGTCTGAGGTGTCTTAGCACACATTGTTAAGTGATGTGAGTGAGGACATATTGGTTCATTTATTGAACTAGTAATGGTGGTATTTATGCCACATAATTAACCAAATTCTATTGAATAATGTAAAAAATGTAGGATATTTTCAGTTAGCGCTTTTGTTTTTTTAAAGGGAACATGAAGTTTAGCTAAGCTGAACATGAAACAGATTTTCAACGATAAGTTACAACATATTGTGAGGCAAATAGAATTTTGCAGTGAATACCATGAGCTGACTGTAGCCAGATAACCACTGAAAACAAGAAAACACTGGACAAGTGCATCGACCTGGGATGCCACTTCTCAGAAGTTTTCATCCATGATCTAATCAGGGATTAAGTTTAGGGCCTTCAGGCCTCGCAGCGAGTCCTTAGCCTTCATATTGCTAGGTTGACATCTAGTGTTTTATCTTCCTAAATTCAGTGAATTTTCGGTATTGCATCACTATTAATAATAACTGTCATTCGCCCGACATGGTTGAACTCCATAAGATCTCAAGAGTTATCGTTCAAATCTAGTCAATAAAGAGCATGTATCTCTTCTTCTTCTTCTTCTTCTTCTTCTTTTATTATTATTATTATTATTATTATTATTATTATTATTATTATTATTTCATAGGTTGAAATCATGACCCAGTTGAAGCTAGACCAGCATTGAAAACCTGGAAGCACTGGACGGCTGTTTCGTCCTGGTATGGAACTCCTCAGCAGTGCGGGATCGTGGATGCGCACTGCTGAGGAGTTCCATACCAGGACGAAACAGCCGTCCAGTGCTTCCAGGTTTTCAATGCTGGTCTAGCTTCAACTGGGTCATGATTTCAACCTGTGAAATTTCTAAAACTCTCCACAAAACCCATTCTGATTATTATTATTATTATTATTATTATTATTATTATTATTATTATTATTATTATTATTATTATTATTATTATAGTAGAGAGTTGTAGGGATTGCCGAATTTGTAATTTCTACCATAAATTCGGGATTGTCAAGCTTATTAAGATCTATAGAATGGAATTGAAGAGATTATTTAGCTGGTCAGTTTTAGCAGTTTTCAGTTATCAGTTAGAGTCAACGTAAATGGTAAAGATTGTTCATCTTATAGATATCAACGAATATGTACATGGACAATTATGTAATGGAACATATATATGAAATATGAAACTTCTGTTCGAATTCCTTCAATGAGTTTGAAACAAATAAGTAACTGTGTTGAAATCATGCGTTAATCTAAGTGTTATGAACTCTTATCACAACACAGCTACTTTTAATGCTTAATATTATTCGGATAGTTTACTTCATTCAACAAGCCCCCAAATCAGGACGAGGTTGAACAGGAACGTACTTATATTACAAATACATAGGGTTGAATGAAAGTAGGAATCAAAATATGGATAACATTAGTATATTTATAATTTTACACAATAAAATTCTAGTCCTCTCCAAGTATCTGGATGCGCTGATTAGCTAAGAAATAACGAATCTGAGTGCCGCGACATAATCCTGCACAGAGCATGATTTAATTCATTCTATATCCCAGTAACACTACGCTAGATCACTGTTAAAATCTAAAATTCTTAAGCGTCAATGATTGATTTGTAATAACTCATCGTTAAGAAATACTTTAAATATGTTTGTAATCATAAATTAACTTCAGGGCAAGCATTCAAAGAAAAGAATCAGGAATTCGTCATTATAAAACAATGACAAAAATCAAATTTATTAGGATTATGTCAATACGTTCCTGGACTATGATAATATTTCGTAACCCTAACTTCAATACATTGAACGAGAATATTTCTATCCTCTTCTTTGCTGCCGGGTTAACTAGAGGAAATAATTATCGGTTTAGTAATTGATGCTATTTTGTGATAACCTTAGAATACCACTTCGAAAAGTTAGTTGGTGACATGTCAACTATAGTGATTAAAATCCATGAATTGAGTATTTGTCACTAAATAAATATTATGGTAAAAATGTATTGAGAGTCCATGAGCAGAGTTCAAACTGAATAATTTGATTTAACGAAAATTAATCGTAATCGACATTCAGCAGTATAAAACTGTTAAGATTGTTGAATTCCATTAAAATCACAGACCAATCTAAGCCAGACAACCATTGGGAACCTGGAAGCACTTAATGATTGTTCCATTCTGCTTAGCAGTGTAGATCTAAGCCACCAAAAACCTGGGATCGAGTTCAAGATCTCGAGTATCGAGCACGACCGGTTAACCACTGAGCGGGATACAATGGTGTACAATCCTAACTTTAATCAAGTGACGATCGGTCAGTGGTTTCAATAAAATTAATCAATACTGATTTTCTTTTTAGTAAGTTGTATTTGGAGACTGTACATCGCTAAAAATTCGAACAATCTGATAACAGTGATTTAAGACATTATTATGAGAAATGAAGGACGGCATAGATGAACTCGAACACAAAGAAGGCAAATATGATAAGAAAAATCCGTATAAAACTCATTAGTCTGGATATTATATTCGAATCCATATAACAGTGATAGGTTTAATGACAATAAAAAGTCATTTCTGGACAGATTACTGAGTTGAAATTTACAACGACTGAAGCTTCAAAGAGTTTCATTATCAGCCTAAATGATTAACATACCAAAATGTAGAGGCTGAGTTAAGATGGTGGTTGGAGGTAGTCAACAAGAAATCCTGGATCCAGGTTTCGTGTTATTCGGTACTCGTCGGCAAAGTGTACCTGTAATCTTGAGGAAACTGATGCTCCCTGATGGATTCGATCCCGTGTCACCAGGTATCACAGTCAGAGATATCAGGGAGCATCGGTTCCCCTAAGATTATAGGTACACCTTGCTGACGAGTGCCAAATAGCACGAAACCCGGGTCCAGGGTTTCCTGTTGACTACCTCCAACCACCATCTTATTCCAACATAGTAAACGCAATGTCGAGTCACCTAGACTAGTAGCCACAACGCAACTTAGTCGATAGCATTCGATCTGCACTAAGAATGACCTGACGCACATGACATTGATCACCATCCAGTGATCAATCAACTGTGAAGCCTGAGTTAAGATTAATCTTATAATATGTGTGTTTGGAAATTCTTTGGTTAGTAAAAATGTGAGTAGTGTAAAGGATCGGTATATATATAATCATATAGTCATATATGGTCGTATGAAAAATTGTCACTAGATGTGATATATGTATATTCACAGGTTAGATGAATATTAGACAGGAATTTGTTGTAATATTACACATTTTGTACCGAAAGTTTTTTAACCGCAACCAAATATGGACAGGTATTTAAGAAGGTTATTTTTATTCATTCTTCATATAAAAATCTAAGATTTTAATTAAAATAATTTATAATGGCAATCAACGATAACGACCGTTCATTATCTATCTCTTTTTCTTCTTGTTTAAGCACACCTACAATAGTTATGTGAAAATATGGTCTCTTTTCTTTGAACAATAAAATCTGAAGTATTAACTTATATTTCATACATCAAAATTCAAATAAGCAACATAATCTGAGATATAAACGTACGTGAAAATTTAACAATACCTTAACTTAACAATAAATTATATGAATCAATAATAACATCTATATCAAAGACGTAAACAACTTTTGTATTACAGATTCAAACTCCTATCTGCACATGATTCAGTTTGATCAACCAAGTAGTTATACTAGCCGTTACATGTACACACAATCGAGAATAGTTATTTGTACTTGATAAAGAGTTATATTATTCATAAATCTATATTACATAGTGATTTTTGGTATTAGTCAATTAACTAAGTAGAAGCTATCTTCAAGAAAGATAGTAGAGAATGAAGGATCATAAAATTATATTACTAAAGATGTGTATTAACTCCGCCGGTAGCTCTTCTAGAGTTACTGCCGGTCCCAAGCCCGGGTAAAGGAGGAGGGTTGGGCATGGGATTAGCGTCCCCATCCCGTAGAAAACTAACTCGCTAAAAAAACGCTTACCAGAAAAAATAATTCAAACCATTTAAACTCTGCCCTGGGAGTTAGAAGGTCTTCATTTAGAAGAATTATGACGCTTCATGGTGAAAGCCGAGTTCCTTCGGAAGCCACGAGGCCGATGCCCCTTCTAACAACCAGAGCAAAAATTTTTATAGGTACATGGAACGTTCGAACAATGTGGGAAACCGGGAAGACCAGTCAAATAGCAATGGAAATGAGGAGATACAACTTAGCAGTACTGGGAATCAGCGAAACCCACTGGACCCAAGCTGGACAGAAAAGGCTAGCTACGGGAGAGATGCTGCTATACTCCGGTCACGAAGAAGAAAATGCTCCACACACTCAGGGAGTCGCTCTAATGCTGTCCAAAGTAGCACGAAATGCACTTGTAGGATGGGAGTCTCACGGATCCAGAATCATCAAAGCATCATTCAAAACAAAGAAGGAGGGGATCTTAATGAATATTATCCAATGTTATGCACCCACCAATGATAGCAACGACGACATTAAAGATCAGTTCTACGAGCGGCTGCAGTCAATCATTGAGAAATGCCGAAGAAAGGACCTAACTATTCTGATGGGAGATCTAAATGCCAAAGTCGGAATAGACAACACTGGATATGAAGATATTATGGGACGACATGGACTGGGAGAAAGAAACGAAAATGGAGAAAGATTTGCAAATCTATGTGCATTCAACAAATTGGTCATAGGAGGCACAATATTTCCACACAAGCGTATACACAAGGCTACATGGATCTCACCGGACCACACTACAGAGAACCAAATAGATCATATTTGCATCAACAAAAAATTCCGAAGGACAATGGAAGATGTGAGAACCAGGAGAGGTGCTGACGTAGCTTCAGATCACCACCTAGTTGTAGCCAATTTAAAACTGAAGCTAAAAAAGAACTGGACAAGTGGACAAACAGCACTACAAAGGTTCAATACAGCCTTCCTTCGAGATACTGACAAACTCAATGAATTCAAGATAGCTCTCAACAACAGGTTCCAAGCCTTACAAGATCTACTGAAGGAAGAAGAAACTACTATGGAGGACAACTGGAAAGGCATCAAGGAAGCATTAACTTCAACGTGTCAAGAGGTTCTGGGCCTAAAGAAACACCATCATAAGGAATGGATCTCTATAGAAACACTGGACAAGATCAAAGAAAGGAAGAACAAGAAGGCAGCAATTAACAACAGCCGAACACGAGCAGAGAAAGTCCAAGCACAAGCTGAATACATAGAAGCAAACAACAAGTGAAGAAAAGCATTAGAGCCGACAAGAAGAAATACGTGGAAGAACTAGCAACGACGGCAGAAAAAGCTGCTAGAGAAGGAAATATGAAACAGCTTTACGATACAACGAAGAAACTAGCAGGGAAATACAGTAAACCAGAGAGGCCGGTCAAAGACAAAGAAGGCAAGCCAATCACCGAAATTCAACAACAGCGTAACAGATGGGTAGAATACTTCGAGGAACTCCTGAATAGGCCGGCTCCAATGAATCCACCGGACATCGAAGCAGCACACATAGATCTTCCTATAGATGTCAACCCACCAACGACGGAAGAAATTAGAATGGCCGTCAGACAAATCAAGAACGGGAAAGCAGCAGGACCCGACAACATACCAGCTGAAGCACTGAAATCAGACATCGAAGCAACCACAAGCATGCTTACCTTCTATTCAAAAAGATTTGGGAGGAGGAACAAGTGCCGATGGACTGGAAAGAAGGACACCTCGTCAAGATTCCAAAGAAAGGAGATCTGAGCAAATGTGAAAACTACAGAGGCATTACACTACTGTCAATACCAGGGAAAGTCTTCAACAGAGTGTTGCTGAACCGGATGAAGGATGCAGTAGACGCCCAACTTCGAGATCAACAAGCTGGATTCCGTAAGGATCGGTCGTGCACAGACCAAATTGCAACACTACGGATCATCGTCGAACAATCAGTTGAGTGGAACTCATCACTATACATCAACTTCATTGATTATGAAAAGGCATTCGACAGTGTAGATAGGAGGACATTATGGAAACTTCTTCGACACTACGGAGTTCCTGAGAAGATTGTCAACATTATCCGGAACTCATACGACGGACTACAGTGCAAAGTAGTGCATGGAGGACAGCTGACAGATGCATTCCAAGTAAGGACTGGAGTCAGACAAGGCTGTTTACTCTCTCCCTTCCTCTTTCTTCTGGTGGTCGACTGGATTATGAAGACCTCGACATCTGAAGGAAAACACGGAATACAATGGACAGCTCAGAATCAATTAGACGATTTGGACTTCGCAGATGACCTAGCCCTCCTATCACGTACACACGAACAGATGCAGATGAAGACAGCCAGTGTAGCAGCAGTCTCTGCATCAGTAGGCCTCAGCATACACAAAGGGAAAACCAAGGTCCTCAAATTCAAGGCGGAGAACAGCAATCCAATCACTCTTGATGGCGAAACTCTGGAAGATGTAGAGTCCTTCACATACCTGGGAAGCATCATCGATGAACAAGGAGGTTCAGATGCAGACGTAAAGGCGAGGATCGGCAAAGCAAGGGTCGCATTCCTACAATTGAAGAACATATGGAACTCAAAACAACTTTCAACCAATATCAAAGTGAGAATCTTCAATACGAACGTCAAGGCAGTTCTACTGTATGGAGCTGAAACTTGGAGAACTACAACAACCACCATCAAGAAGGTACAAGTATTTATAAATAGCTGTCTACGCAAGATACTCAACATCCATTGGCCGGATACCATCAGCAATAGCCTTCTGTGGGAGAGAACAAACCAACTTCCAGCTGAAGAAGAAATTAGGAAAAGACGATGGAAATGGATAGGACATACATTACGCAAATCGTCAAACTGCATCACGAGGCAAGCCCTAACTTGGAATCCTGAAGGGAAGCGAAAAAGAGGAAGGCCAAAGAACACATTGCGTCGGAAAATAGAAGCAGATATGAAAAGGATGAATTACAACTGGACGGAGCTGGAAAGGATTGCCCAGGACAGGGTTGGATGGAGAATGCTGGTGAGCGGCCTATGCTCCTTCACGAGGAGTAACAGGCGTAAGTAAGTAAGTAAGTAAGTAAAAATGTGTAGTTATTGAGATCATTTATCGAGAAGTCCGGTATGATCAAATGCTGAATCATTTAATGAGGTGTGAATAACCGAGTGTACAAGTGATCAGTAAAATATGATGTTATAATTGTAGTTAAGCTTTGATCTAATGAGTTATTCATTATTGACAGATAGTTCAGAAATCCTCTGGATATTTAACAAAAAGGTGTAAATTGTTGTGTTCAATCTCTAGTTCGTATATGTAAGCCAGTAAACTATATGAACAAAGATCGATGATGGCTATCATCGAAATCCAGAATGAGCGTTTCATCCCACTCGAGACTCGTCAGTTGAATATATCTGCATACCAGTGTTGGTGTATATCTAAATATATGGCATCAACTTCAGAGGTGTTTAATATAAATCTCTCCGATTACTGGCTTCTAGTCAATCAGTTATTACTAACGTTGAGTCTGGCATAAGTATGTTGATATGATAGAAAGAACAGCCGAAATTCGATTGATTTACTCATTACGAGTTTTGTTCAAAATTACTTCCGCCTTGATTCAATGTGATGATTATTCAGTGTAGTATCTGTTTTGTTTTCTCGTATGATATTTTATTCTGTATAATATACGATATTCTTGTATTCAATTGACATGAACTATGTTCAGTATGTGACTTGTCATATATGTGATTTCATCCTAATTATTAATCAAAATGGGTGTACAATTAATATATAAATGAGTGTATTTTCAACTAGTGTCGTCGTTGGGTTTTGGGGTTAATAAACCTTCACTTATACCAGTCTTTGTATTTTTACTTTCGCGTCGTAGGTATTGCGGAGGTCCCTCGTTCCGAGTATAAGTGATGAGCGTTTCCGACACAACAATCAGCGACGACCAGACATGAAACGTAGCGTTCAAAACAACAAGACATATCATATGTATTAGCCCAAATTGCAGTGACAATGAGAAAGATTAAAGATTGGATATATAATTCGTGGAAAAAACAGGATAAAAAATATGCACGAAATAATGGAAATGGAAGGAAAACTGAGATGTCAAAGACAGCATAGTCCACCTATAATAAATAATTTAATTTACAAAAATATACATATGATCGTATAAATAGAAAATAATATGTAATGCTTACACCAGTTGACTGAATTAATATATGATCACTACCTGGAACAGCTGAAGTTGTACCTTGTATAAATGCAATATAAAATATTGACGAATAATAATTGACAAATTGTAATAGGTATATTTTAGCGTTAAACTATTATCATATTCCACTTGTGTACGATGATGTTCAACATCAGTCAATTTAATGGCCATACGATCATAAATCTGAAAAATTAAAAATAGAATGAATTATTGAAATCAATAAAAACTATCAGTATGGGTGATTCACGGGGTTCTAGTGAGAAGCCATGACTAGCGGAGTTCAACCGTATCGATTGTGAGGTAGTTAACCATCGCAGACAATGGGAAATGATTGAAGATAGACTCTGGCTCAGTGGTGTAGAGGTTAAGCGTTCGCACATGAGATCGAAGGTGTTGGGTTCAGTAACCGCGCACGGGATCGCGGATGTGCGCTAAGCAGCACCATGCTGAGACGAAACGATCATCCAGTGCTCCCAGGTTTCCAAAGGTTGTCTAGCATTGATTAACTCATGATCTCAATGTAAAATAAAATTAGATATTGTTTGGTAAAACATATTAACACTAATCAAAGCTGGGAAACAAATTTCAAAGAAATTTGTGTTAATATTTGTAGATGCCTAAAAACTAACAGTAGCTGGAGTATGTTTTTATCTCTGTTCAAAAGAAATATGGTAGCTGGAAGTAATCAACACACTCGACCAAGGTTTTATGATTTTAGGTACTCATCAACAAGGCATACCTGCAATTTTACTCTTACTAAGGCATATCAGCTTTCTCAAGATTGCAGCTACACCTTACTGACAGTTGCCAACTAGCAAGTCCAGTAGAATTTCCTACTGATTACCAACAACTAGCTAATTTCAAAAATTACTCTCTGTAGACAATTTTAGATAACTTAAATCTACAATAGAAAAATAACTGAATGATTATTGTCAATTCGTCTTACAGCACAGTAAAGTGTTCAGTAATGTGATACAGATCGCGTTACAGTACGGATCAAAATTTGGAGCAGAAAACTAACTACTGCTAACATCAACCCTACGGTTCGAAATATTGAACTCCAATTTATCCACTCACTCTTAGTAAAAAGCTGATGAGTCGAAATTTATTTAAAATAAAAATCTACCACTATAAACCTTATAAGAACGTTACTGAAAAGAAACGTTTTCGACAATAATTAAAATATTCCACGAATTATTGAATTATCACCTTTTGTGTATTTATCAATGTTGTGTGTTGTGGTTCAACTTAATTTTAATGTACCACTCCCAGTAGCATACCAAATCCACTAAGCAAATGAAAAGATTAAAGTAGGTAATTTCAATTGCCAAAACGAATTTCGATATGCTCCTATCATGAGTATATACATAGATATGCTTGTTCTTTTACCTTGGATGCAACAAGACGATTTGGACTTCGAAGATGACCTAGCTCTTATATCCCATACATAGCAACAAATGCAGGTGAAGAAACCCAGTATAGCAGTGGGATCTGCAACAGTTAGCCTAAGCAGACAGAGAAAGGAGCGAGATCCTCAAATACAACATAGAGAACACCAACTAAGTCACACTTGATGGAGCTCTCAAAGAGGTGGACACTTTCACGAACATAGTAGGGTCTGATGAAGATGTAAAGGTAAGGATTTGCAAAAGCAAGGGCAGCATTTCTACAGTTGAAGAACATGAGACTCAAAATAACTGTGAAAGTCGAAATTTTCAATACGAACGTCAAAACAGTTCTATTGTACGGAGCTGAAACTTCGAGAACTACTACAACCATCATCAATAAAGTACAAATATTTATAAACTATTGTCTATGCAAGATGCTAATTATCCACAGACTCTCATATCATACTTTCCCAACATGTACAAATCTTATGATAAATGAATACAATCAGTGATTTAATTAAACGTACTAGTTTTAAAAAGAATATTGCCACTAAATTAACTAGAGATCCAGTCATAGTAGCAATCATACCAGAGGTACTTTGTACCATTGGATTATGATGACGGTACAAAATTGCCTTGATCACTAATTTGTACAAAACCACACCGACAAGAAAGCTAATGTGAGGATAACCTGTGAAACAGAAAGTATGCATATACATAAACAATAGAAAGTGAGATAATAGCATGAATTTATTATCTTTAACTGAACAAAATTATCAACTTGTTACCACTTCAAAAAGACCAAAAAAATTTTTTTGAAAGAAAACAAGTAATACATATCTGGATCATTAGTTAAAATAACTTTATCTCAATCCGTCAGTCATAACTAACGTAGAATTTAGTGCATATGCCAAGGTTGAATCTGACAGTTTCAAATAAATTGAGTATTGAGTAAAAAGTTAATAATAAATCTATATATTTTATGTCATAATTAAATGAGTAGAAAATTGTATTTCTGACATTTCGTAACTTAATGTAGACCATTTCTTCAGAGTTCATCAATTACCGATTTCGGTTAGGATCACGGAAACGTCAAAAATACAATTTTCTACTCATTGGAATATTATATATATATTATCAGTCTTAAATGTCGTTAGCGGGACATAGACTGGATTAAAGCATGCTCAATGCACGATTGCTTTGGTGCACGCTGATTGGCTAATTCTTATCCAATCAGCACCAGTCGATAGTTGGAGAATACTCTAGAATCTTCCATGTAAAAACTATAAATATACTGACGTTTTTCCCTATTGTGCTTCTTACTTGCTTCTTACTTCCATCTAACCTTGTTATTTAGAATATAACCTCTTTCCTGTTCAACCGTGTTCTGATTTGGGGTCGTGTCGAGTGATTTGGTGTCCAAGAGTACTAAGCAATAGGAATAGTTGGGGTCATAACCGTAAGAAAGAGGTTATAAAAAATGTCCATTGGTAATCATTAAAGAGAACAAGAAGTAAAAAATCAATATGTAGATACATTTTGACATGAGAAAAATAAGAAAAACATTGGCGAGAGAAAAAAGTTTAATAAATTTAGTGAAAGTTTTGTAATGAAATACGAGATAATGAGAAGCCTTACAGTATTGGTCAAAATATTTTTATTATTACTAAAAACAACAAAAGAAAACAAGAAAAAACTTGACCAAAATACTTTTATTGGTAAATTGAATATGAATATGAAAATAGTTAGTTAAAAGTGTACAAAATTGTATTTTATTTCAATGAAACTCATGTATGAATATTTCATGCATGAATAACAACATAATTATCAGTATGGGGTTGTGGAGATCATTTAAGCTTTTGATTGAAATCATGAACCGGTTGATGTTGTGCGATTATTCAACAGTGCGTAACCCACAATAGGACGAAACGGCCATCCAGTGATTCCAGGTTTTCAGTGGTGGTCTAACATCAATCGGTTCATGATTTCAATAAAATCTTAATACTCTCGAAAACCCCATACTGATAATTACCATGTGCTGAATAATGACTAGCTTCGTGAGGGAATTCTCGGAGTTCTAGTGAGAAGCCCTGACCAGTTTCGGATAGAGATAAGTATCTACCTCACTACAATGGAAGACGGTCGCGCAATTTCGTGGATTGGTTGAAGTTAGACATTAAGACCTCTGGATGCCGGCTCAGTGGTTTAGAGGTTAAGCGATCGTGCGCGAAACCGAAGACCCTGGGTTCGAGTTCCGCGGTGGGATCGTGGACGTGTTCTGTTGAGGAGTCTCACAATAGGACGAAACGACAGTCCAGTGGTTTCAAGTATTCAATAGTGGTCAAACATCAATCGTTTCATGCTCTCAGTCAAAAAAATAATTTAATTATCAATGAATGAATTATATGGTTAGTGTTGTTAAAAATTTATGATTCTTTATAAGATGCAGTTGAGATCTAATAATACTGGTTCAAAAAATCCATCAACTTCATGATTGAAACCTAAAAACTAACTTAATTTTAATTTAAACAACTAGAATGTATTCGTATGCAGTTCTTTACTAAAAATGATAATTTAAAACCTATTTTAATAGTAGAAAATACTAAACTGAATCATTAACAAGTCAATTATCATCAACTAATGACGGCAAAGTAAATCATGTCGCTGGTCAACTAGAATGAAGAAAACAATAAAAATCTATTCAGATCGCGTGCAAAGCAGTTACCCACCGAAAACAATGGAAGATGGTCGCGCAACACCGTAGATTGATTGAAGTTAGACATTGACACCGTTAGGCTCAGTGGTCAAGGGGTCCTGGATTCGAAACCCGTGTGTGGGGTCGCGGATGCGCCCTGCTTAGGAGCCACATGCTGAAACGAAACGGCCGTCCAGTGCTCCCAGGTTTCAATGGTATTTTAACATTGATCGGTCCATGATTTCAATGAAATCTGGTTGAAACCATTGGATTAACACAATATAATCGATTGTTTGCTTTCTATTTATACGGCATATAAGACTTCGGAAGTGGCAAACAGCATATATATTGAAAAACATAATGACAACTAATTACAGAGATTAGCATTGGAACATAAAATCCCAAACTCATATATTGCAACAAACGTATCGCCTATTTAAACTTCATCGTAAACAGTTTTGACCATTTTAATTACTACATAAAATATTGAATTCGTTAACCACACTACTAGAAGCACTTATCTATAAACACGAATATTTTTCACTACTTTCAACAGGTATAAAAAAGATGAGCGAAGAGAACAGGATATTGTCAATCTTGAAGAAGAGTTTCACATTTCAATGATAGAAAGTCAGTATCATGTATATAGACACTAATCGTTGAATGAAATAGTGCGATTTAGGTAGTTTATGTAATTCCAAACATGGTAACATCCACATAACCAAAGTTCTTTTATGGATAAAAAACCTAATTCATCACGAGTTTCCTTCAAAACTGTTTCCAGAATGCTGTAGCCTCTAAAATTCTTGCAGATGCTTGTTTCATTAAGTCGGTTAATATTTACTAGTTACTATGGGCTTTGACTTTTTAAGTGAAATGCAAACTTGCATTATAATACTGCTGACAGTTCAACAACAAATATATAATGTACCTTAAATGCACTGTAACAAATCAATCTAGGACTTACAGTTTCAGGACTAAACACACACACTATACGGCTATATTCAAAACATTACTTAGAGTAAAACTGTTATCTAACAGTTATGTTGAAACCATTGTTAGGTATTTTTATCATTTCAAGATTTTGAAAGTAATTGAAAAAAAAAACCAAGACAACATAAAAAGAGAACTTACAGTTAACAGAACAGTAGAGAAACTGAGAAAGATAATTGGTACTTTACGTCGCCAAAATGGAATAAATGGTTCTACATACTATTAAAAAAATAGAAAAGAAAATTTACATAGTATTCCCCGCAAATTGATCATAAATAAAATGTTATTGAAAACAAGGAAGCACTTACTAAACATTTATTTCATCTTAGCAAGAGGTCTTTCAGGAGTACATACTAACGAACCCAATAGGCAGATCGTACCTTAGAAATTCAAATCTTCAGATAAATACTTAATTATTAAAACCACTGGATCAGCACCCAATAGTATATATGTTCAACTATATACTTAAGTAATTTGTTATGAAAATGTTTTCCCCCGAAAATCATACTCTTTTAAAGGGTTTCACACAATTCCTAAACACCTAGTAATAATTTGCAGGTAATTAATAACACAGTAAAAAATTTAAGGACCAGAGATTTTATTGGTTGTAGTTAAGTTTTAACTTTATGTACATGAATAAAAAACATGAATAATTTCAGAATAATCACTATAAAATAATCAATAAATACAATTCACTATCTGTGTATATCATTTTTTCTCTAATTGGAGTTTACTTAGAAACAACTAGACAGGAAAGCCCAGGTTGGTTGGAGAATCCTGGTTAGCAGCTTATGTTCTACAAAAAGGTAACAGGCATTAATAAATGAGAAAGTAATGTGTCATTTTCTCTCTACTCAAAGTGTATGCAATACATCTTTCATACTTGAAATCACAATTATTAACAGAAATATGTTATAGTACATTGAATAAAAACTGATAATTGTTTAAAAGTCCAAAATAAAACAGAGTAAACTCAAAGTGGATAGAATTAAACAGCATTAGAAAAAAATAATAATAATAATAAATTTATACTTACTCCACTTAAAGGATTCATTTTACGAGGACACATTTTACTAAGTAATGCCATAAATTCTGGTCTCGGCGGTTGATCCATTGGTTCCAGTGAGTATACATTCCAACGATAAGCCAATGAGACTTGCCTACGTTTCCACATTTCGAAAAATATTACAGCTATTTCATAAAAATGTAGAAATGACAGAAAGATAAGAAAATATGATTCATTCTACCATTTATTAAGTAGTAATAAAAATATAAATAATGAAGTAAAACTAAATATTCCTACTTAAATTTGAGTATTTGTCGAGATAGATTAACTAAGCTATTGACGTGTCGAAGCTACAGTTATAGAAAGAGAAAGACATGAAAATTCACTATTTCATGAGCGAGATATAGGTAAAAACTTACATAAATGACTAGCCACTGACGACCATTGAGTATAATGGTATTTTTTGTTCCAATTTCATGCCACCAAATGCCCTAGTACAACCGAGAGTGAGAAGTTAGATCTCCCTCTCGAAGTACTCTCACAGAACCACGTGTATACAACCACTAAAAGGGAAGTCCTACTCACTGTCTCCTCGTTTTCAGGGTGTTTTTTCTTACAAAATTGAGAGGACGAAAACGAATATTTGGCTCCTTGACCGGTTTGGTGGATATGGAGGATTCACCGAGGGGAGTTGGAAAACCCTCATTCCAAACCAATTGTGCACATTTGTCCCATGATCCTAAGAAAACAAATAGCGTAGGAACCAATGGTTGTTCTCTGATTACCATCATGGGACTACATCTTGTTACGTTGCTCCACTGCCTTGTAGATTAGGTGTCTATGTTAAAGGGTGGCATAGTGGCTTCCTAAGAAAATCACGTGCTTCGGTTTTAGCTCCCGGTCAGTTTACCAACCCTCACAATAATCAAACGGTCTGTGAGGCGCTTATATATTTGCTGCCTCCTTGTACCAATGTTTACGAGTTTAAATAAATAAATACAAGAATGTACAGAAAATGTACGAATCCATCTATTCAACGACAGAGGGTTAGAATTGAGTAGAGAAATCCAGATAGGGTGATCGATGGGTCTGATACAGAAGCAAATGAATGCCAGTTAGCCATGATGAGAAATGATCCTAATGATACAGAAACCCTTTAGTTACACCTCTATATATTCATTTACAACATCGGTTCTATTCTTTTGGAAAAAACTCTATATGTTTGTAAAGTATATACAGTAAGCAAAATAGCTTCGTTGCCAAACATCTTTATCCGTCTCCAGTTTTAGAAATAATTTTCCACAGGGTTTAACAATTCTAAGAAATTGGAAGGCTCAGAATTGTGCTACATACTTGAAGGTAGTTGATAAGTAACTTTGTTTGATTTTGATTTAATAGCTAGTTGGTATTAGTCAGTAAAGCGTTCCAGAAATTATTAAGAGAATTAGTGTCCTTGTTCAATCAGAACCCCGGTCACTACTCAGCTTCATAGTATGAAACCTTACCACTGAGCTATTCGAGCTGTAAATGACCTCCTGAAAAAATGAGATATTTACAGTTAAGTGACCACCGAGTAGTGACCGATGTCATGTTTGTCAGGTGCTTTAGTGCTGATCGATCAAGAAATTCAGAAATGTATTAATCATCTAGACGACAAATATTCCAGACTTTTATTCATATAGGAAATGAAACAAAAATGAGTTATGTTTTATTACACGTAGTATAAAATTCTTGAAAACGTTATAAAGAGAACCGACATACCCCACAAAGACATAACCACAGCAAATAAAACAGTCCCTTCATGATCCACTAATCTCATTAACTTAGTACGTAAACAAGATCTGTCCAGAGTCCAAAATTTGCATTTAGATGATTTACATAATGGACACATATATATGTTGTGACCGAGATCACATACTTCATGGCTTGAAAACAATATCGATATTAACAAAAAAAAAGCTGAGTTGTAGGAAGCATACAATGAAAAAGAGAAGTGTTTTGACTAATAAAATGAATTAATGAAAATATTATATATGAATTAATTAAAGGCAATAATTCGAATGTGCTTAATGAACATACGTGAATGGAGTATAGGGGAGAGGTGCTTGAAATCTGATAATAGAAGTCTTCTTTCAGTCAATTTATGTAACTCATTAACTAGATACAGTTTAATTTACTCAGCTTTGAAGTATACCAACTATGGGATGGCTATAGTGGTGAGAACCAACGTAACACGGAGTGAAGTTTAAAAATTGTAATGTATTGAATAGGATTTGAACAATTTCACCAGTAAGTCACTGATTCTTTAACTTAAAATCATCATTGTGAGTCATAGTATCCATATGAGGTGAAAGCTTGATTTCCATGATTTGAAAAACAAATATTTAACGATCAAGAATACATTTTTGTTTTACTGAAAACTGTATACGTTAAAATACGTAAATAGAGTTTGCTGAGCTCTTCAATATAAAAAGACATTCGTAAATTCATATTATCGACATCAATTATTGAGTTAGGCTTCACTTAATGGCTATAACAAATGTTTTATAATTCGAGGTGTATTTGTTTAAGTTTTAGTGTTTAGAAAGATAGACATTTCAAATATTGATAAGATTAAAACATTGGTCAAATCTATTTTAATCCGGGAATCATAGTACACTATGTAAAAAAGAACCCAGCTGAAAAGGACAACTAACTTATTGTAAATGTATAACATTTCACTAAAATTTCTTCAGGTAAATAGTCAAAAGTCAGAATTATTGAATATAGATAAATTTACAAAATAACAACATATTAAACGATTATTCAACCATGTTTAATATGTTATATATTAATGTCTGGTGTGTGAAATTGAGTCGTCTAATGTGAAATATATTCAATTCATAGTAATAAATAGAGAAATGTACGTACATTTATGAAAATTTGTATTTGAAAACAAAACAAATGACCATATATAAGTAGTAAGCTATAGTTGGGGTTCAATTAATCATTCTAGTTGATAGCCATATATTAAACTTATCAGGACACATAGATTGCCAATAAATAAATGGTTTAACTCTTGTGTTGCTATGTTGACATTTCTATAAAACAATGTTTTTTTTAAAAAAGTAATATGTATAAAATATTTTGATCTTTACAAGTGCACGAAACAATTTTGATCACGATTGTGAAAGAAACGACACGAATGAAAAGATTCATTAATGACATTAATATTAAAGCATTTCCGATAAGATTAATCAGGCGTCGAATATTCAATCACTGAAACCAGCTAGTTAGTAATTCACAACGTAGAACCTGGCGCATGTATACATTAGTTCGAGCTCTTACACCAAATTAGCTTAGCAAGATAAAAAGTATCAAGAAAAACCCCACAGTAAAAGCAGTAACAGCAGTAGTGGTAGTAATAGCAGGAAATAGTAACCGCTCAAAAGATATACATGAATATGAATTATACAGTCTATGGTATACAGACATTTACCAAAAGAGAAAAATCTATGATTAAGATGTAACCTAGTAACTATATTTCATTTGTTCAGTGATAATTCCTCAACAGACTTGATTATTTGATTAAAATAGTGTTTCATTTACTTATAATCCGGCAGACTTTCATTAAGATTACATTTTTAGTTATTTAGCATAACACTATTGTTGTACGTAAAATAAATCAGAAGATATTCTTTTTAAGCAACATGGAAATTACCAACAAACACGTGGCTACAACTCGTTACAGAGTGATTCTTAAACTCAACGTTAGAGTTTGATAATTAAAAACGGATTAATGTATCGGATATCATACAGTTTTTTATTCTTGTGTGGAAGCTAGGACTACTGCTACCCGAACGTTCAGAATTAAAACAGATACGAATGAATTAGAATTTATATGATAAGTGTAATGAAAAATTTGAAATACTTCTAGAAACCAATATAACTTTAAATATTAAAGACTAAGTGTGATGTAATTCAAAATTGAAACATTGACATTCTCTGTGAAACTATAAAACTAGATTCAGGCAATCCTATCAGTGAACATTTATTAAAACCACATAAACAACCCTACTCCACAGAATACCACTGATTGTTAAAAAGAATTAGAGGAGCTACTTTTTTATTAGAACGTTGAACAATGAGCATTCGGAGTTTCAAGTAACTTGAAGTTTAAAACAAAGCTATAAACACATCTTGTTAATAATTTAATAGCTGGGTAAATGAAACTACATGAAATTACAAATCTCGACAGCAAACAAAAACTGTCAATAGACTCACTGTGAACACTATAACGTCTGTTAGTGTAGGGTTGTGAGGATTATTGGATTTCAGTAAAAACGTGAACCAATCAAAGTTGGACAATCAGTAAAAACGTGGAAGGACTGAACGGTTACCATTGAATCTTGGCTCAGTGGTCTGAAGGTTAAGGATTCCCGTGAAAGACCAAAGGCTCTGGGTTCGACTAACATTTGCAGGGTCGTGGATATGCACTGCTAAAAAACTCCGCACTACGACGAAATGGTCATCTAATGAACTCACTTTCACAATAATTACACAACTTAAATCGGTTCTTCATTTAAATTAACTAACTATCTTTCTTCAAATGTTCTCATAAGGTAGGAATACAAATGTTATGTCATCCTGAAAATAAAATCTTAAGTAATGAAAGCTTTAATTTATTCAAACGTTTATACATTTGAATATTATCGGTTATCTAATTTGAAATTTACATAAAATCACACCACTGCGACCTGCTGGAATATATACGTCACCTGTTCTTGTCATCTAGATATTTGAACAACTTATCTGTTTCTTCGTTTCTTTTAACACATCATTACGTCTATTAACAGTGTAACTTATTCAGGTGAGTTATGAAAAGTTTACAACCTTTTACTCTACAACGTTCGAAAAACGCACAACTAAAGACATCGTGGTGGCTGGCAATACACATTGAAAACAATCAATATTATTAAGATGTCGATTCCTGAACAACTAACATCTAACTGGCGATCAATAAATATTTATCGTCCGGATCGATAAAGATATGAGGAAAGAAAACTTATCGAAATAATTTTTGTGGAGAATTCATTATTGTACCAAAATTATAATACTGGATAAAGCCACTAATAATAATAATAATAATAATAATAATAATAATAATAATAATAATAATCTCTGGCTATTACGAGTCGAATAAAAGGTACAATCACTGATAGCTAATAATGGTCCAACAAATTAATTTTTCTGCAATTACGATACACAGTACTTCGATATATATAAACATGCACAGACGTCTATTTACGTGAAAACATCTAAAACCAAGTTATTGATTAATCTGCAGATAACATATGCACTATTTCATTGATTACTTTTCATATTGTAATTCTTTGAAAAAAATTACTTCCAAACAAGTTAATGATTTTTAATTAGTGAAAAGAAGTTTCTGATAAAGAGAAAATGAATATTTGATAGCTTCATCCTATGATTTGTTCGATAATTAGTTTTATTTATTTAAACTTGTAAACATTGGTACAAGGAGGCAGCAAATATATAAGCGCCTCACAGACCGTTTGATTATTGTGAGGGTTGGTAAACTGACCGGGAGCTAAAACCGAAGCACGTGATTTTCTTAGGAAGCCACTATCCTACCCTTTACCATGGAGACCTAATCCACAAGGCAGTGGAGCAACGTAAGGAGTTGTAGTCCCATGATGGTAATCAGAGAACAACCATTGGTTCCTACGCTATTTGTTTTCTTAGGATCATGGGACAAATGTGCACAATTGGTTTGGAATGAGGGTTTTCCAACTCCCCTCGGTGAATCCTCCATATCCACCAAACCGGTCAAGGAGCCAAATATTCGTTTTTCGTCCTCTCAATTTTGTAAGAAAAAACACCCTGAAAACGAGGAGACAGTGAGTAGGACTTCCCTTTTAGTGGTTGTATACACGTGGTTCTGTGAGAGTACTTCGAGAGGGAGATCTAACTTCTCACCCTCGGCTGTACCAGGGCATTTGAGGGGTGATTTGTTCAATAAACGAGTTATTTTCTGGTCTTAATGTATTTGACTTCGAACCAAATTCTATGTACAACAGTTTATGATACTATGCGGATGTGCAAACAGAAATAGATGGAGCTGGACTCGAATCTGATACCTGATGACTGAAAGCCGAACATCTTAACCAATACGCTTTTGTTTCATCTCACTAGGTATCAAGAGTCCTAATGAAGATTGTTCTTAAAGACAAATTCAAAACGTATGTTTTTTGATTCATCATTGACTTACAATTCGTAATTGACCAAAAAGAGTTATCAGATAGTAGTCAATAATCATTTAAGTAGTAGAGGGAAGTGATAAATGCATTAAATGAACCAGTAAGTTACAGGTTTAGATCCGCCTCTGTCTACTTCACTTTCGGAAGCTTAATGAATTAGTTCTTAGTCAACACAAACGATTTCAAAAAAGTCGAACACATGAACATATATTCGGTACATAAGTCATTATTTATATTGATTAAATTTTCAAATAGTAGTGTTGAGACACTAGTTCACTGAAAGATAGATTATATTAGGTAGAAAAACAGTAAACAATAATCCATTTCATTCAAATTTGAACAACCATGATAAGTAAACCGGAAAAAGGATAAACCTATCAAAAGTGAGAATGATACCAAAGGGTATCATGATTCGGCTGGACATTGTGTGTTGAAACCAAGTTTATTGAAAAATAATCTGGTTAGATATTTTTGTCGGCGAATAAAATTCACAAAATAAAAACAAGGGTTTTTTTCGACAAATTCACAATGAACACCATATCAACAAACAATAAATAAACATTCTGATAGTACATGGATATATATATTTATATATAAATCCAAACTATGGCAGTTAAAATATTATCTTTTTGTGAAACTGTATTAAAAACAACAATATACAATTTATAGAACTTACATAATCGAGTCGGATTTTAAATCCAATAAACCGAAAAGAAAAACAACAATTCCAAATATTGCAATTGGTAAAAGCCAAGCTGTGTAGAAACCAAGCCAAGCAAAATAAAAAGCCACAGCTTCACCGAAATAATATCTAAATTAAATTATAAGATGGCAAAAAGCGTTTAAATCACTGTGTGAAATATAAATCTAGTTTTAGGACAACGGTATTTGTGGTGATTGTACAATTGTAATGGTTTAAGTCACGAACAGATCTTAGCTAAACCACCAATTAGAACATGGAAGCACTCATCGGCAGTTTTGTCTCAGTATGCGATTCCTCATCAATGCCCATCCATAAACCTGTACCCAGGAATCGAACCCAAGACCTTTAATCTCATGCGATAACACTGAGCGAGGATTCAGTAGTGTACTTGTATAACTAGTCAATTTACGACGCTATCCGACCTTTATCCATTACTTGGAGTGGATAACTTGCCCAATGTGACTGAATTCCATTATTCACGGCTTCTAACTAGAATTCCAGGATTCTCATCTTGTCACCAGTGAGTACAATATTATCAGTATAGGGAGATTTGTGAATACTGTAGAATTTTCAGTCTGAATCATTAAACAATTTTATCTTCACTATCATCAAAAACTTGTAATCGATTGGAGCTAGACATGTATTCTATTGCATGCTGGCTCAATGCTTTATAGAACAAGCTTGCATTCGCGAGGTTGAGGGTCTTCGGTTCGATTTCTGGGTACAGGTTTATGGATGAGCACTGATGAGGAATCTCATACTGGGATAGAACGGCTGTTCAGTGCTTCCAGCTTCTCAATAGTGGTTAAGCTAAAGTATGTTCGCTATTTAAGTTATAATAAGTCTATTATTCTTATGACATTATATTATGAAGTGTCAATTCTTTCTGAATTCTTGTCTGACGGATAGACTTGTCCTGATTTACTTAAACGGCTCGCTGAGTAATCGATTACCTTTCAAATAATGAACACAGTAGGACGACTTTATAGAGTATTTGAATATTCATGTTCGAATAAATCCTTAGTTTATGAATGAAAATGTATCACAAAAAAGTACAGAGTAAGCAACTTAAGATCCAGTTCTTTACACAATCAAGGAGTTTAAACAATCACTATATAAATAGAAGCTTGAATAACTCACAATTCACCTGATGTAAAATATTAACCCATGGATACATAGATACTGTTGACCTTACCAATGTATCTAAAATAATTTCCAGTGAGGATATTGCTTTTTTTTATTTTTATTAGGATTTCATTCAGAAAACTTTGTAATATTTTACGTACATAGGTCTATTGTTTAGATATAATCATATACATATCGTCATTTATGCGCATGAATCTTTGCTAAATATACGAAGAGGGGATAAAATGCATGATCATATTTTAATTAAGTGTTATATTTAATAAAACATTCTTTTGTATTAATTTGGTATTATATATTCTCACAACGGGGATTCGTGAAGATTGGAGTATGTCCACATTTGAATTTACGAGTCGGTCTAAGCACGATCACTAATGAAAACCTGGAAGCACTGGATGACCATTTCATCCTAGTATGGGACTCCTCTATAGTGCTTATTCACGATCCCGCACGCGGATTTCGAACCAGGATTTTCGATCGCGTGAGCAAACTCTTAACCTCTAGACCACTGACTTGTCTGACTCAGACAATGGATGAAAGGATTAAGATTAAGCGTCCACTTGTGAGATCGAAGGTTCTGAGTTCGAGCCTCGAGTGAGGGATCGTGAATGTGCACTTCTGAGGAGTCGCATACTATATATTTATTTAGTATGACATTTATTGTTCGCTTCTATTAATTTAGGGTGACATTTGATCAATATAACCCTCAACCGCCTAATTCCAGTGTGAAATTTAGTTTCATTCCAAACTGTCCCGGTTATGTATGACACTAGTTGACTGATTATTAAATGACATTAAAATCTATAGACAAATGAGTGTACTTGATCAAAAAATTATTGTCAGGCTACTGGACGATGAATAACATCTTCATATGCTATGAGTTTTCACCTTCTTTATGTCGTGTAAACCTGTTTTCGAGACAGTGGAGAAGATATGTAACCCAGGTGGAACAATGAAAGTTCCACAACCAAACTATCCAGCTCAGAGAACAAAACTCCATCAAAACCGACTTTCTCCAATAATCAAGGTTCAGTTTCCACAGTTATAGCAAGAATTCGGTTACTTAAGCTGCACTCTAAAATACTTCTAGATATTGATGATCACAATCTGGTATAGAATTATTTAGAGTTGCCTGTTTAATATTCGGTAAACAAGCCCTACTTACTTGCCCAAATGAATTTTGCAGCCAATGGCACACTGAAGTGTACGACAAAAAGGCATTCATTCTAGTAAAACAGTCATTAAGCATTTATAGGATCCATAAGAAAACTGTTGTCAAATGTAAAACACAATAAAAATGACTGACGGACTATTTAAAAATTAGGAGAAACATTCTCATGATATCAAGCAATATTATATCCTGAAAATGTTAAGACCTGTTTTGCATTTCAAAAAATCATCCAAACACTTACCGAATATAACTGATAGGTTGGCATTTAAATAACATTTTATATGAAGCCCAATAACGTTGAAGTAAGATTCGATTATTGAATTCGGTCGGCGCCAGAGTCTTACCAGCAGGCTGTAAATAATGTGACAGATAACTAGACTAAAATGAGTTTTTTTCAGCGAATAAATACTTAACTGATTGAGTAGTGAAAAATGACTTGTTGAAGTTATTATATCCTAGTGAAGATTAAATTACGGGTAGCTTCTGAGACCTATAAATGGACTAATATTATATATATATTTATAATGTATAACTTTACAATAGCTAGATTGTGTATATCTATATTCCTCTTATTATAAGCTTTATTTTGACCTATAGATCATTATTATGCGATTTGCTGTTCTTAAGTTCTGTTCGGTTTATTGATTACAGTCTCTCATGTTCACTGGCACTTTTTGGCTTGGTTTTGTAGAAATGTTATTTCCTATTTTATAGTGTGATGTCGTCTGTTTGACTGGTATGTAAACCAAGTATGATTGAAATAAATGATTAGCATAGTGGAGGCTGTTAATGGCGTTCTGGATTCAACCAGACGGGCTAGACGAACAAAAGATCAATAAGGACGTTAGGCTGCTCGAATTGGTCGAACATCATTGATTTAGCACAGTAATAAGATTGAATAAGTCATATTTCGATTGGCGAATAAATCACGTGATAACTAGCCGAGCTTAAAGGCAACAGAAGTAAAAAAGAATAACAAAGTAGGATGATTTGTAAGACCAACACTTAACATATCATACTAAAATATGGTAGTTTATCATGAGAATGACCTAGCGAAATCTTAGAATAAATAGATTATGGCTAGCTCTGGAGACCAATACAAGCATTCCGTCCTGCTTGGGACTGGTCGGATGAATAAGCTTGCAGCTCAGTGTTGATATTCACATTGGAGCTGGAAAAGAATTGTAAATATCATCACGGATAGTTCAGCGAAATATGGTGATAACAACCTAATGTAAATTTGTAATGAACTTAGAGAGCTTACATTAATAGGTCAAGATAATGACTTCAACCATGAGAGACAGTCGTTATAGATGGACAAATGTATCAAAATTTTAGAATATTATTTGTCGGATCTTAAATTACTGACCGAGTCACACCGTGTTCCTTGCTAAATTCTGAGGCCTTGTATTCTACTCCTGTATACAAAAGTCACAGTTTCCCAATCCTGATGAATTCCCAACCTAAAACGAATTAACTATACAATACACTCGATTATATTTCAGTGTTCCATTAGTTGAAATCATCTAAAAAATTTATACAAAAAACTTTTACTTCCATGTCCTATTCAGTGAAAATAATATTTGTGAATTTTTAAAGAATGAAAACCATTAATTTAAGTAATAAAAAACAAACTGAAATGTGTTCCCTATTAGTTTACCCAATCACCTTTGTCTCAAAAAATAACACCACAATTTCTGTATTAGAAAGGATGACATTTAAGAAAAACAATAATAAATAAAAGTATTTATTTCTTTGATTTTCATTGAAATGAATTCGTTATGAAAGTAAACAATATGTACGTAGAATTTCATTGAAAATGAAAACAACGCAATAATCGTATACAATAAATCAGTAAATTGAATAACAAAAATGAAAATCATGAAGTGAATATGTAATTTGTAAGCAAATGATTGAAAAATAACAAATAAACTTGAAGGCTGAGATTATCAGTCAAACTTTCAATATTCAAGTATTGTGAGTTATATTGAGCACTTGAAGTGGTTAACTCTATGGCAAGCCCACATAGTTTATTCTAACTTTCGTACAGATCAATTTATTCATTCTTCTTGAGTCAATTTCGACCATGTCAATTACTTGTCTCTCTTCGCCTCAATTTGATCTGACTATAAATAACGATTCACACCTGGTTAAAGAGATTAGGTTCACACGCCCTCTCCACCGCACATCATTTTGTTTCGCCCTCTTCTCTTCGGTTCGTCCCTCTGATTATCTTTCTAGGTTAATGAGTGTACGAAATATACGTATTCAAAAATTCATTATCATATTTGACTTATTTAATTCTTTATTCATTGACGCGACCAAAGTCGATGATAATATACGAGGAGTGACAATAGGTATATTTCAATAACAATCGTAATACTATTTAAATGGAGTCAGATATAGGGCCACTAAAAACTTTCGATGTTTTTTCGTCTAATAATTGGGTTGTTATTGCATATCAGAGTGAAATTTTCACCAGAGATTTCATTTCAAAATCTAACTTTCAACTTATTTGTGTCGTTTTTATTCTATAGTTTGAGTTGCGCTACACTGACATGTTTGTAACGTATAATCACGAATAACTCCAGACTCTTTAAATGAAACTTTCAATGAGAACTACAATACATAGTACTCACCTACGAAATGAACGAGAAAATGACCGACAGTACTGAACATAATACATAATACTTGAACACTGAGAACATGATGAATAATCTCAAACTAAAATGAAATGTGTTTTCATTGAAAACATAAAATTATGATACAAAATAAGATGAAGATCAACAACTAAACACCAAATTATACATACACACATACACAGTCAGATAAACAAAGCTTCAACATATCAAACAGTTAGTGAGTGAGTATACTAACACAAATAAGGTTATAACATCAATTATTTTACATATAACTGATAAGCAACCTAAACAAAAAATGGATGACCTAAGAAAAATAGGTTAAAAAGTGTTCGATACATAGAATATCAATACTCCAGCCATTAATGGGTAAATGATAATGTTTTAGGCATTAGTTTGGAGTCGCCATTTACAATTATACTATTAAGAGAGTTCGTTGGGGTTTAACTAACTTCATGTTGTTAAACCCTAAGTGAATACTTTTTCTTCATGTTATGATTGGAAGTAGTGTATTCTGAAACTAGTAGACAATCGTTAGGAAGATGAACTTAGAATCTTCAGAGAACTGATATTTCTTCAAAGATCCAAACCTACATCAGTCGGTGTTGGTAGAATTTGATCAACAGTAACGAGATAAAATGACATCGTTATCTATTCAATGAAGAATAAATGTTAACATGATGATATTGCAAGAGGTAATGAAGTTTGAAGACTACTTGGTTGGGGTCTGATCAATTACGAATCATAACTGTATCATACGTAAACACAAGCTAAAGAAAAAAGCAGACATCAAAGTATACTCAAGTACTGAATAAGTCCTGAATGTCATTTGGGTTAGCTTAGCGACCTTATTAACATATTATTTCACAGAAAATTCGAAATAAGAATGTAATGTGAGCCAGTGACTATGTGTTCTTATGTATGGATGTATGAATCTTAGCTATTTTATTAGAGGATGAATGATGTACAAAGAATCAAAAGAGATATGAATCTATGAACCAACACGTTTGATAGTTTTTTTTGTGTAAATCACTAAGCTTAGATAAATTATTTATTAGAATCGATCAAGCCAGTGTGGATGGCACAGGAACTCAGAGATGGCATTGCATAAGTTTTGCAGCACAAAAACATTTCAATTAAATTGAAGATGTGGAATACAATGAAATGAAGACATCATACTAAGACATCTGTAAGCATGGAAATTACTATACGTTGTGGAAAAGTAAAGTACTTCTACGAGAATTTCAGAAGCCTACACCTTAACTCACACTTTATAGTGGGCTGTTAGAAGCAGTCGCAAGGTTAGCGTAGCTGAGTAATTGTGCTAGTGCTGGTGATTATGTGACAGATGAGGTCAGTTTAATTATAGTGAAAGTCAGAGCGGCTAATGACAATCTGGGATGCCTTTAGTATAATCGTGATGTTGAATCAGCTATAAAAGGTCGAATTTACAATGTGTTGGTGAGGGTAATATTGCCCTATTCTTTTGAAACCCAGCCGAATTGGAGAATCTCAGGGTCCAATCGTCGTTGTATCCGAAGGACTGTTGGAATCTGACAAATAAAGTGTTAGAAAGGCCGGGGTTCAACAATGTGACTTTGAGAGAAGTCACGAAAGCTCAACTGATGTTGCTATACTGGTACACTGATTTACGTAACGTGGATAGTTTTTACGAATGTTATCTACATTGTAAATTATTTCCCCGCGCTAGGGCTGGGTGGTAGAAAGCAGAGGTTGTCAGTTTATAATAGATAATCGTGGAATAAAAGAGAACTATAAATGATTGGAGGCATCTGTCGGTCCAACACGACTTCCTGGTTGGAATCCTAGCAATCATGCAACTCAGTTGCTTAATATATTATCAGACATTATTCTAAGCAGAAGGCTATGGCGATGCTATTACAGTTTTGAGTTACACTGTATCGAAAAATGAGAGAAATTCCCTTTACATGAAAAAATCCATTTTGGCTATATGTACTCTGTTACCCCTTCTTAATTTCTTCTTCTGTATTTTGTGTGGTACACACTATTAAAAGTACAGAGATGCACCAAGTATTACGTATTAAATAAATCATAAGATATAAATGTTCAGTAGTTTATTCAATAATGAGGTTGTAAGAAAATATTTCTGAAGCGTTTCAAACTAGGAACAGATGATACATATCAAGTTCATGGTTTTGACAGTTCACTATGTTGTATCAGTTCATGATATAAATCATCTTCAATGACTTATCATTATATTTTTATATAAAGCGAATTACACAACAAATTGAATGTGATTACACATATAAAACAATAAATACATCCAATAAGAAAAACAAATTTGTTTGAAACATCATTTACAATAACCATGTTCCATATAGTCCTTGATAATGTGTAATTGTGATATTACAACATATATAAGTAATCATGAAAAATGTATAAACAAAATAGTGTACACCATTTTGTGAGGAGGAGGAGGAGTAGGAGGAGAAAAAATTTTAAAAGAAGAACAAATTAAAAATACTAATTTGATGAAAAGATATAATGAGATAAATAAGCAAACATATAAACAGATAAGCATATATAATTTAGACACAGATCTACTTACCCCATAACAACTGGGAGATATTGTTTTTTGTTGTAAAGTTATTAATGATAACTTTTCAGTTGGCTAATTTCATGGCACAGAAAATTTATACGCGTGTATAGTTTAATGTTAACAGAAGGTACATAACAAAATTTTACACTTAAATTATTATGAACTATGAAAGGTATAAAGTGTGATTGAATAGTTGCTGAGTGATTTAAACACTTGATTTTTGGTTACAATAACCTTAATTTAAAAAATCACTATGTCTACTTCAATTCAATCAACTGGGTAGTGGTAATAGAGTAGTAGTAAAACTATCCAACAAATAAACAGTATGACGCGAAATCAGGTATATTCACCTACAGTTGGTCAGTGAATTGTATCAAATGAAAAATTAAATATATAGATTTAACTATCACATCATAACAACAGTGATGTGAAATTATTAAGATAAATGCCAGAATATAAAAAGTAGTGACAGTATCAGTGGTAGTGGGAAACATTAGGAAATAGATAACACGACTCAATAAAAAAGCCATATTAAAAAGTGGAAGATAATTTTCAAACTCGACCTCTAAAGGATAATAATGAGTGAACGCATCTACGCCATTGTGGTCAATTCTAAACCACATAATCTAGCACTAGTATCAGCCACTGGTTACGATGATCGCGAGGACCCCAATTTTATAGTCTTCATTTGCTAGCATAGCTTTATTCAACAATTTATACCGCCAAATGCCCTGGTACATCCAAGGGTAAGATAAATCCTACCACCCATGCAAAATGTTTTCGTACTGTCATTTATTTATAGTCACTGGAAGCGAAGTCATATTCACTACTTTCATGTGGTGAGGTTGTCATTTAAGAAGATAGAATGACAAGAAGCGAACGTCCGGCGCTTAAGTAGGGTCGGTGGATAAAAATGTTCCATCTACGGGAATCGGAAAGTTCTGATTCCAAACAAACGATATAAATGGGCTCAATGATCCTATAGAAACGAATAATGTATGAACCTATTTTGATCATAGGCTACCGTGAAACGATACCTCCTAACGTTATTTCACTGTCTTGTGGGTTAGGCCTTTAGATCCAGAGCCTGGAAAATATCTCAGTACATACATAAATAATATTTCTTTGGTGCCCAATTGCATCAACTGTTATATTAATTAAGGAAACGCCTAAATCCTGAGCTTATACCAAGTTTTTTCAACCTACTAATTCCTGTACCAGTAAATATCACAAGTTGTACCTCGAAGCAAATGCTGAAGTAGATGGATTCGATTGATTTTTATTTTCACAGGAATAATACATTGATATCAAAGAACAATGAGACATTATTAGTAACATAATGATGAAATAATTTTTTTGGCAAAAAGGCGAACAAAATTGCAAGAAGATGAAGATGTTTTAAACACGATAAGTATTGATCACTAATAGCTACTGTATTATTGAATAGGAAATAGTATACAACGACTAGAGTTATTCACACTGATATCATGATATTTAAGCAAGACTGATAGAAAGTGATCAACAGTGAAACTATCAATTAATTCAACATGATAATCATTCACTTGAACATTCCATTGCAAATTGGTGATTGGAAGAAGTCGGGAAGAAACTGTGGATATAGGTTTCGTGCTACTTGGCAATCGTCAACAATCTTTAACAATAAACTATCTCTATAACTGTTGTTCACACGTTTAAATAAATCCATAATTCTACTAGATTTAGCCTGCAATAAATACTAAATTAACGAGATACTATTTATTGGAGTCACATATAGGGGAAATTAGCCTCTACACAATCATAATGGTTATCGATTCACGTATTATCAGTAAAAAAAATCTGTTTTGATGAGAAATAAAAACTACATCGGTTATACTGAAGCCGGAATTTAATTAATATAATAAATTACCATGGTGGTCGTGTATAATGATAAAAAGTCCGACTCTAGGACGAAACAGTTATCCAATGCCTCCTAATTTTCAATAGTTTCTTACCTATAATCAGTCTGTCTTAATTAAAGGCTATTACCAATTAGTCTAATGACTGAATAGCTCGATTTTCAACTAATGAGTTGCGAGTTTAAACTGAGATCCACTTACTTTAGTTTTTAAAAAAAACTTGATAGTATTGCTAATTCTAACTCAAACGATATGGATCAAAGCTGACAAAAATAAACTGTTACAATTTGTAAATGAGTTCGACTTGAAATTATATTTCATTTCATTTTATTTTATTCACCTAGTATTCATCAACGGACATACATGTTTTCAAAATCGAACAAAAATACACATAGTAAATGAAACCAGTCTAATAAGCCAATAAGATTCAAAAAAATAATAATTAACCATCAATTACAATCTCGGCTGACTTATGGAGGATTATAATTGAGAAAAAAACATTAAAGAAAGAACACTTTGTATTGGTTGTTTGGATCTTCTAACTGATGTTTAGGAGTGTAATTGACAAGTCTCTTATTAGTATATGTGCATCCTGTGCGAATTACCTTGATATTACCTTAAGTCATAAGCATTATAAGCAGAGATGGATGGTGGCTAGATGTGGAACCCAGGTCGAATCCTAAAATCGACGAAAAACGCGTCCTGGATTCCATTGCTAGCAACTATCTAATTCTACTTATTAAAAAACAATTTTCAGGAACACCAACTTCATCATAGAACAAACAAAAAATGAGAAACCTAAATGTTTCATGCAGCCCGAAAACGATTTCCAGTACAAGATAGTAATTATTCATTTCAAAAATAGAATGTCATAGAATCATCAGTTTATAATATATAACTTTGGATTGTTTTACTGATATCAAGGCATATGAAAAATTTTCTAATTATCTTAGACATTTACAACATTATTGTTTGAAAATCTTGATGACATCTTTGTTGTAAGAAAGCTAACAATACGTATTCATTAGTATAGGGTTGTAGAGATTGTTGAGTTTCAATTGAGATCATGGACCAGTCAACGTTTTTTTGAGCGTGACCGAGGATCTTGAATTTGAATCCCGAGTCCGGGGTCGTGAATGAACAATGATAAGTAGTCCCATGCTAGAGTGAAACGGCTGTCCAGTGCGACTAGGTTTTTAAGGGTAGTCTAATGTTGATCAGTTCACGATCACAATTTAAATACTTAACCAGTTGGCGTGCCACTAAAAATCTATTGATACATTATTGATTTTAAAGTCTCTACATCGTACACACAGAACCTGAAAGCGGTTATAATTAGTAAGAATAATCATAATATATTTTTCCTATAAAATAGTTTTTTTTAAATAAATAATTCTTTTGTTTTACCTCATGTAATGGATAAGCAGCTGAGAAAATTCCATCGGAAATCAGTTTAGTTATGCCTAGATTTTTTGTTGCCATTACATACAATGAGTTAGCTTGATTCGATGATCCCGAGTTTCATCTGCAAGGTCATGACTTGTTACAATATCACCTATTTATGTGTTTAACAGAAATGAAAAACAGATAAGTACATAAATAGTTAAAATAACTAATGCCATATCTGGCACTGTTGGGCATTTTATCTAATTCATCTGTTAGCCTTGGATATAAGAATGTAATTTTCACTGTGAACTTCATTTTAATCACCTAAGACTATTTAGATATATTGATCTATGAACAGGGCACTGTAGCACATCCCAACTTGCGGAATGAAAGAAGCAAATGAAATGAAGGTTGCAGATTAAAATGAAATCCCCAGCAGAAACTATGCTCTTATATGCAACATTCACTTATTAGATAAACAGAAAAATGCTAGATGATGTACACATATTGAACATTGAGAAGCAGATACATTACAGATTCACGGACACATATCCTAACCACTGACAAACAAGCAAACAGGCAAATGGTTACAGATATCTTGGTATACTCAAAGGTTATTTTCTTTAACGCAACTTATGACATTTTTTTCAGTTAAGATTGGATTTAGAGAAGTGGCAACTGAATACTAATCCAACTATATGCTATATCAAACAAACAATTACAGTTGACTGTCAACCAATTTTTAGTTCAATACGAAGTGTTTAATGTTTAAACGATAGTTTGTATTGAATCAAAAGGAAAGTAAATATTGTCTCCTTTTACTTGCATTAACTAACCAATACATTCATTGAAGTTCAAGAGATGTAAAAAGAAGTGAACAACGAAGAATCATTGAATAATTAAAGTATTCACATTTTATAATCAGAAAGGGTTTTGTGGACATTATATTAATTTAATAGTTGAATTCATGAATCAATTAAAGCTGGACCACCATGGAAAACGTGGAAGCACTGAAAATTTTAATTATTAGGTTAATGATCGTGAAATACCATCCGTATTGGTTGACGAAAGAATAGGTAAGAATGAATAAGAGTTCCATTACCGTTCATATGGTGGACACCGGACATCAAGTTGAGTTGAATAAAGCTTTTAAGATTGTTCGGTATGTTCCATCACATTCACCATATAGTTTACAACTTCATCTGTTGCATATTGTGAGGCTATTGAAATCCATATTTATAAACCTAACCTTTTCATCCAAAAGAAGTTTATACAACCACTTTTCTAGCTTGGCAATCGGTATAGGAATGAGTTTTTGGCTAAACTTAAATTAAACCCCTTCTTTTAAAGATATTCAAACAATTTCTTTAATTTCTTCCACATCCGTATTTTTACATATTCTCAACATTCGTCTCTTGATTCTTACATCACAACTGTAATACTGGCCTTTCATCGATATGTTTTTTTATATATTATGTAATGTAGAAACTGTTTAGTTTTCTCGAGCAATTACTCTTATTGGACTGATAGGTCCTGGGTTCGAACCTCGCAGGGGGCAGGATCACAGATGCGCTCTGCTGAGGAGTCCATACTAGGAAGAAGGGGCCGTCCAGTGCTTCCAGGTTTTCCATGGTAGTCTAGCTTCAATTGACTAATGATTTCAACTACTGAAATTTCTAAGATCCCCACAAAACCCCTTCTGATACTCTTATCATTATAATCCTCTTTCATCTAATTACTCAATATTATTTTATAGTCACTGTGACATCATATGGTGATTACGTAACCCAACTACTTAATGAGTATATATATGAAAAACTAATTGAAGAGAAATTCCTTCGCTGTATTCGTTCTTTCTACTAATCTATTTCATTTTGTACAGTAGGTAAGTGACTTAAATATTTTAAAAAAAACAGACTAAAACCAAGTACACGAAATTAATTCGCACCGATTAGTGAATTCAACATCATTAAACAATGATCTTGTGTGAATTAGTATAGACAAAGATTATTATAGTTAGATACGGTTGAGACAATTTTGATCAGTATAAAACCTCGTATAACTTGTAGCTAAAATCAAAAATATAAATGTCAGACATTTTAGTATTTTTCTTCACTTCCTACTTCATTTAGGTAACAGACTGTTTAGTGAAAAAAAAGTAGTTTTCTAATCAATCTTTATTTGAGAATAAAGCATATTGCATTCGATATAGAATTTGATAGTTAATAACTTCCAGAAATAGATAATTTTTTAAGCATTCAATTCTGATGCTAGCCTTATAGTCTAAATGTTAAGTGATTGGCGAAAAACCCGAAAGATCCTAGATTCAATCACGGCAGGTTCATGAATATGGCCTGATAGAGTACTTCTATACTAAGAAGCACTTGACGATACATGATATGATATTATAATAATAGTTTTCTTCATTTTCTCCAGTGAGTAACTGCGTCACACCCGACACGGTTGAAGTCTACTGGTCGCTCAACAATCTCCACAAACCCAAACTGAAAATTATCATGTGCTCACTAGTGACTAGTTTCGAGAGGTAATTCTCGGAGTTCTAATGAGAAGCCGTGACCAGTGGAGTATTCTTTATTAAACAACACTCGTGAAATTGGTGAAACGTTACAGTACAACAGGAAGTTTTCATCAATCCGGTAGACATTTGAATTATACAACCTTCTATTGGTTTCCTTGATGGAGATTGAATTTAAGCAAATCGAAATTGTAAAATGATGAATCAAATAGTAGTATAAATGGATATTTATAAAAGAAATGAATTTTAATCGATAACAGAAAATACTCTCCCTCTCTCGCATGAATATATATATATATATATATATATATATATATATATATATATATATATATATATATATATATATATATACATATTCGAAAATCTTACTAATGCTAGGTTCGTATAGATCTTCAGTATTCACTAAATCCTCTGATTTATAACCGGTACGCCGTAGAATATGATCTAAGACAAGAGCTCGTTCAACTGCAGTGAAAAATTCATCTTTATTTTCTGGTATATCAAACCTATAAATAAATGATAAGACATAACGATATATATATATATATATATATATATATATATATATATATAAGTGACCTATATGAGAATAATGATAATCATAAAAGAATGACAACCCATCCTATAGATTTATATAGAATACATGTATTGTAACTAGCATCGGCCAGTCAGTCACAACGTAGAACTTCGTAAGTACGTATATCAGTTCGAGTTGCCACACCACATTAGCACAGAGATGCACTTGTCGATTCAAATCCCGTAGTGGTAGAGGTAATAAGAGTATAAGCAGTAATCAGGAAGATTAGGGTTTGGAGATGTTATTTAAAGAGTACAATACAGTGAAGTAAATTTGGAAGGAGGAAAAAAGGGACATGAAGAGTTCAGAAAATTAGAATTTGGGAGAACACAGAGAGTGGATGCACCTGCGCCATTGCAAACGATTTCGAGCCATGTCATTCAGGGTCTCTGACCATCGGTTGCTATCATCTCGTGGTCCCCAACCAGGTAGTCTACATCTACCAACATGACTCAGTCCACTTGTCAGTGACTTCATGGACTTGTGCCATGTTTTGGTTTGGCCGCCCCTAGCTTGCTTTCAACCTACTCCTATACCACTGAACATCGCACGTCGAGGTAGTCGGTCGTTGGGCAAACGTAACACGTGTCACAGCCATCTCAACTGATGAAGTTTCACTACGTCATCAATTGATTTGCCATCCTTACCTAGTACCCGTTTCCTAACAACTGTGTTACTTACTCGATGGTCCCATGATATACGAGCAATGTTTCGAAGACACCTATGATCAAATACTAGTAACCTACGAATATCCTCTACTCTTACCGGCCATGTTTCACTGCTATAAAGTAGGACGGGACGAACTGCTGCGCAGTAAACACGTCCTTTGGTTGATAGACGGATATCTCGCCTACGCCATAAATGACGCAAGTTGGTAAAAGCTAGTCGAGCGCTCTGTATCCGTGCTGAGATTTCGTCACACACCAGACCACAAGGGCTGATGAGACTTTCAAGATAAGATAGCATCGGAATCCAGCTCTGCTCTATACAGCTTGTGACAAAAAGGCTACATTAAATTAACTGGTACAAGGTGTATATATCCCAACAAAGGTTGGTAAAAATTCAATCCTGAATATCAATCGGATAATTCAAACACTAAACTTTGAAAACAATAGTTTAAAAGAACAAATTACATCGAACTCAAGAAAGGAAAATAAGCAATTTAACCACTGCAACACTTTAGCCAGCTGTTCACTACGTTATTCACTATCTATAAACTTCGATAAAGATCATTACGTGACCTCCAACAAAGAAGCCTAGATCTACCGATATAGATCACATCAACAATAAATGGCTTTATAAATTGATGATAAGTCATGATCTGTGAGTGCTTAGGCTTTATTCAACATACTCATATGTCAGCCACTGTTGCACACGAAAATATGAGGTTGTTATGCGTGGTTAACGTACGTCCTAACTCCCACAGTCGATGAGGGTTTGTCGCTTCACCAAGAAAATATTTACCACAAAACATATTTATTTTCAGTCTAAAATGTGTTCATACATCTTAGACTGATATTACTTAATCTAACTATCTAACATGAAATAAATAGAAAGGACCAAAAACAATCAAGATTAAATTGTCTACCTCATGGACTGGTTTAAGTGATACAACCATTAAGAACCAAGAAATACTGGAGAGTTGTTTCGCCGTAGTATAGGCCCAGCAGTCCAAATATTTGGCATTCACCGCGAGAACTAAGCGTCCTGGATTATAAGCAGAGATGATGACGACAAGCAGCGAAATATAGGACACGCGTTTCGATTGTTTTGGGACTCGTCAGTTGGATGTACCAGCATAACAGAGTTGATGTTTACTACGGGACTCCAACCCAGTAACGTTCGCTTCAAACGCCATCGCGTTATCCACTTACATACTCAGTCCTGATAGCTACAAGCTTGTGCAATCAGGTGAAGTTTAATCCATTTTTGTATTGATTGTTCGAATCTTCTCACTGATGTTTAGGATTGCAATTGATTAGTTTCTTATTGGCATACGTGCTTCCTATGTGAATCGCCTTAAGTCATAATCGCTGCTTATAATGTTTGTGACTTAAGGCAATATCAAGACAATATGCACAAAATGCATATATGCCAATAAGAGGCTGATCAATTGTTCAAACAAACAATACAAAAATGAACTAAATATCCTGGACTCGATTCTCGGTGGGATCGTGGAAACGCACTATTCATAAGTCCCAAACTAGGACTAAACAGATGTTCAGTACTTCCTTGTTTTCAATGATTGTCTAACTAAAATCATTGGGTGTTGCAAACCATGATATGCAGCAGTCGTCATAAACCTTCTGAAGTAAAAATCAATACTATTTGGCACAAACCTCATAGCACTAATAAAAACTGTAACAACTTACAAGTATTGCCTATTCAGTGAAAATGGCCAAGAACAACATGAATCGATTGGTTTGATAATATTTTTGTCCGACTGTAAACATTTAAAATAATCTTTTAAAACGGAAGGTTTAGGTGGTCGGTTCTCCAGCTAATTAGAAAATGAAAACAAAACAAAGAACTAATGAACAAATAAACGTATTTTTCTTGAAAAAGTAGGTAAACTACAGACTAATATGACAAATAAATAGTGACCAGTAATGGAATTCAGGATGTCCATTTCGTCCTAATTAGGACCCATCAGCCGGATGTACCTGAATTCTAGTCAATATTCTCGTCGGGACTGATATCCAATATTAGAAGGCATTACAATAATTAGAATTTTGACATGGGAAACAAAGCATAAAATTTATTTACGGAAGATACAGATAGAGGATAGAACCATATTACTTTTGGTCTGTCATCTGTACTTTAGAATAATGTATTACAAAGATTGGAGACTGATAAGCGGTCTTCTAAATTACAGGAATAAAGCTCAATGTATAAAATAATGGCATTTGAGGTGACAGGTGCTAGGTTCGAATTTCAGTGGGAATAATAACACTGGGATGCAGGCATGTCCAGCTGACAAATTAGAAATAGGACAAGGCGAGTGTTCCGGTTTTCACTGATATCCATTATCCAGCCTTATCAAAGTTTTAAATATTAGTTCAAATGATACTCTACTGACAGCAGTTAGAACAGAAATGTTTTTATAGTAGACGAAAGAAAAGTCGTAAACGATTTAGGGGAATAGGTATGATTCAGACAACAATCGAGTAGCAACATTATTGTAGATACATGTTGTTATTCTTCATAAACCATACGATGTAATTAGGCCAACTATGAAACCCTTCTTGATTATATTTACACTTCGGGAAGATCCTTTAAAATATTTGTGTTGTTACTATAATATATGTTTGACTATGAATATACTCCCAACAATAAACTCACAATCCCTGTTACTGTATCCATCACATGGTTGATAGATCATGCAAACTACAACATCCCTATACAGCTGAGTTGGAACGCCAGAAATTCAGATAACTAGTTACAAATACGTATGTTATTCAGATTTATAACTCAGTTTTTCCAAAGTACATGACCGAGACGCAAAATAATTTTAAAACAATGTTGACTGATCTGTGATGTATGAACGGTAAAAGGCACATCATCAGTAAATGAGTTATAAGACGGCTCATAAGTTGAGTTATACGACTATTTATTAAATACTTATTAAAATATATTTATAGCTTTTACTAAACTTTTCTAAATCACCCCTTTCTCTTTATTTCTCAACAATGTAGTCATTTGGTTGTGTAAAGTATATTTTTTGGTTCCTTATTGCAACATGATGAGGGAGGTATAATAATATTCAAAACTTACATACTATTAACAGTAGAGCCATAGGAAGAAGCAAGAATTTTAATCAAACTACCGTTCTTGATGAGATATTTACTAGATTTTTATTAAATAAGAAATAAACCCTAGTATACTGAACCAAAACTATATTCTTCAAATAAAATGTGACCATGATAAAATAACTTTTCTGTGAAAAGGGTTTTGGCGCGTCATAATTATACACAATACTGGAAAATTGAATAACGCGGAAACCTAGCATAAATCATATACTCTAAGCTAGTGATATTTTCCTATGATTTGAAGATTGAACATGATACCTTCATGTTAAAATCTTGAGGAAGCCTTTAAAGTCAACAGCTCATAAATCAGACTACAATTTAATCACTGAACGATCCTATAATAAAAATTTAGAAGTGTATGATTTCCGTCCAAATGACAGACAGTTGACTTATCAATAAGTTCTACTCGGATGGTACACTACACTGAAATTTCAGAATACATCACAATCAATAATTTGATGAAGTAAACTTGATCACTGATAATGGCGATCAAACTACCCTACTTGGTATGAAAAAAATTGATAACGATTATAGACATTCATATGATACTAATTGCTAGTTGGTTACTGGTTCGCTTAAAATAAACATTTTCATTTGTGTCAGCCACATGTAAATAACGTAGGACCTGGAATAAATGTGGATCGGTTCAATTTAGCACATTCGAGTCCTAGCATAGATTGCACGTGAGAAAGAGAGGTGAAGTTAACGAAAATGGATTGGAAAGTGATAGAAGGGAATTTAGGGAAGAAATAAGAAAATAGTTAACAAACTGTGTCGTTAACTGACACTTTACGGCTGTGTTATGTTCTTCGGCCTCCAATTCAGATATACACACTTCCTATACGCTAACTCACTCAGCTATACGAGTGAGAACTGAGAAATAACCAGAAGGCTTTAATTGGCAAACTGAATGAATAGACACACATATAACTGCAATATTTACCTTTGTCCTTCTAACTCAGACAATAACATGTACGCTGAAGCCTTGACTAAGAGCACAATAGACTTCCTCCAATAACATGTATCAACTATAATTTCTTACTTACGCTTTGATCTAGAAATAACATGCGATTGCTGGTAAGTTATATGTCTAACATTAATTACCCAGTCTATTGAGAAGAACACTTCGTTTTGAGGAATTCGAAGAAATTGGATTAAAAATGTGGCCCGATTAAAATGGCTCGACTGAGTTATCTAAAACAGACCTGTTCATAGCGTCCAAATAAATGTCAAGATTTAGACATGACCTGTATAGGCGCTGACGCTACACACATAAGATAGCCAAACTTGTCCAATTTAACTTATACTACGTATTTAATATAAATGATTTGCATATGTAACCAACAGTGAGAGACACTGAACCCGAAATATGCTAAATAAAATAAAGTCATCGTAGAAAGCAAAACAACAGATCAAACTGATCTATAAGTATATATAGGGGTAATTCTCAAGATATTTTACACAGTTTCTTTAATCATACAATTAGCGTGATCATTATCTCACAAATGACAGAAAAAACGCAATTGATTCAGTACATTACACAACAACTCTACATCACCGACAAAATTAACTAAACAAAAATGATTTAAAAACTCTTTTATGCTGATGAGACTGACCGACAAAACTACATTGAAATCCACAACACCAATTCAATGAAAGTAACTTCATTCATTCATTCATTCATGTACAGAGTTTTGTTGAACCCATTAAACTTTTCTCATAGTTTACTATGTGAAATCATTCAAATCGGTGAGTTAATTAAACAGACAAATTATACAGTGAAACAGAATAATAATTAAAAAATACTACATTATAACAACACAAACGAGAATATATTGAAATCAATAAAGACATACGTAAAGAAAACGAAAAGGGATAACGAAGAAAAAAGGTCAGTAAAATGATAGTTCAAACATTAGAACAAGACAATAAACCATAAAGCAGTCGGATTTTTATTTAAAAAGATAACATTCCAAATAATTATAATGATAAATGAATCCATTTCCATTCAATGTATTTATGGATTTTCATAAAGATCTAAGAGAAACTGAGTAGTTTTGAGAAAACTACAATGTTTTTCTAAAGTGGTTATCAACTTTACCAAGGAAAAATAAAAACAAGGTATTGAATACACTCATCCAATGGTTTAATAATAGGTAAACACAGTGAAAATATATAATATGGTCATATTGTCAACAAACTTTAAATATTAAACAATTTTATCGCATCAACAAAATTAAGTTGTAATCATCTATTTCAAAGAACCTTCAAATGCTAAAGTATTTTAAACTATTGGAATGACATTCCAGTATAATGTGAAATGACACTGGGATACAAAAGAAAACTGTATAGGAACGGTAACCTTTTTCATTGCCTGGCTAGGGGGTCCTAGAGATTGTACAACTCGGTAACTTGAAACATTAACAGACATAGCTTAGAATAGAAGACATTAATGATTGCGCTGTGGTTTCTTTTTACAATCGTCGTAATAGTAAGAGGAAATGCTTTAGCTGGAAGAATTCTTTCTTGAATGCATTTTAAACTGAATATTATGACGCTTACTGTGTACTATTCTCACTCATATATTCATTCTTTATTGCATTCTCTCCCCCCCCCTCCTTTAATTTTTCAGAATATTGTCGCTTTATTCTGTATAGTGCATACTATTTTTGAAGTGACCAGTTGTACCAGATTTTATGTGTATTATATAAGATAAAAATAAGGATAGTAATAAGTTGAAAAGTCCTTAGAGGAGTCAGGTCAAGATTTGTTACTGTGTAGTTCCTAGCCGTTGATCAATACAATATAAAGAGGTGTTAGCTAGTAGTTATCTTGGTGGCTGTTGAGCAACATAATGCACAGATATATCCAATATTTATTGCGTAAAACAAAATCTGAAATATCTAGGCTTAGCGTTATTAGTTTATCCATATCACTTCAGTTTACAGTGATAAGTGATATTGATACACAAAATATTAGTAAATAGTAAAGGCAAAATAAATAGTGGAAGGCTAGTTACTTGTCATTTTATCAACAAGCTATGGAAAACTAGTAATATAAACACACACAAACACATGCAAATGTGTACACTAATCAAGGTCACTATTCGTCGGAAAGCAAACACATGCATGCGTACATTTACCGTTGTTCAACAGCAAGAAAATAACATACTTACTTTCCAACCATAAGCTAGCTGAAATTTTTTTATGTTTGTATACAACAACAAGCCAGCAAAAATATTGAATTAATTGCTATCAATCATTACAGATAAAAATAGGGATGGATACACATACAGTATAATGGATATTTATTGTAATATTGGTAGCAAGAAATTTTAGAATATACTTTAATGATAATCTAAAGTATTGTGTGTTGCGGTTGAAAACCAACGCGGTCAATCACTGGTTCCAAGATAGACATAAGTTGATCTTAGCTATATCAACATTGGAAATCTAGAAGCAATTGACTGCTATCTCGTCTTAGTATGAAACTCCCCAAGAGTGAACATCCACGAACACACACAGGAATCGGACCAAAGACCATCGGTTATTCGCGCGGACGCTTAACCTCTACACCACTGAGTCGGGATCCAACGGTGTTAATGTCCAACTTCAATCAATCCATGATCTTGTGCAACCTTTTATCCATTCCCTATGGTGGATAATTATATTACATGCGACATGCATTGAACTCCACTGGTCACAGTTTTTCATTAGGACTGTGAAAATACTACAAATCCCGTATTATACTATTAGTTTACTGAACAACAACAGACAACCTTGCTCTAAGTACTAACATTTTAATAGAATCTATTAATATTCTTTATGATAAACATTCGATATTCATAGAAAAAAGATTATTCAAACAAATAAGTATTCTACATAACACTGTTAACCATGATCGAATATCCTATAAAGAACCAACTAATAATGTCACTAAGAAATTTGTTTAAAGACTAAAGAGGATACTAAATAGGTTATATTTTTAATAATGTCACAAAATGATTTACAAAATGGATATTTAAACATTAAATAGTAATCATTTCATAAAGTTGACTAAGTATACCTCAGTAGTTCAGTTATTCAATTTACAGAGGAAAAAATTAAATCCCATTTCATTTTGACCAACCGAGTATACTATCATTAATCTTTACAATTAAAATGTAATTTATAAAGCCAAGTACAATAAGCCAAACAACAACAAAAAACACAATTATGAATGAAAACATTGTAAATTCATTGATGTCGATTGTTTTAATTATGAACTAAGCAATGGTTGCCAATATTTGCAGTAAAACGAATCAAGCACAAATAAATTGTTCTGTTACTTGTTTGTTTTTAATTATTACAACAGAAATCATATAATTATGAATTATCTAAATGATTCATTTAAGCATTACATAATAAAGAAACAAACTTGATGTATCTTAATTATTGTTTGTTTATTATTTTAACTTACTTGAAAAATTTTACCAGACTTTAAAAATTAATGTAAACACAATTAGAGTTGGATATAAAATATGAAGAATTAGCTAGTGGATAATAATTAATCGAGATATTGAACAATTATCTTTAATCATCTTCGATGAATCATTGCTTTACACTTGACATGGTTTAATTTCACTGGTTAGTTATAGCTTCGTATTATAAACGCCAGGGATTACCTCTCAAAATTAGTCACTAATGAATATATGATAATTATCGGTGTAGAAAGTTTGTAAAGATTTTCAAATGTTACTGAGATCAATAAGTGGCCTTGGTTAAACAACCATTGAAACCAGGATGCACTGAAGAGTTGTTTTTCTTTTTTTTTTCCTAGTGAAAAAATTTCTCAATAGTGTGTATCCACAACCTAAACGGTGATTAGACTCAGGTCATTCAGGTCGCACATAGCGTATGCCTTTTAGACAATTGAGCCAGTATACAATTTTTTATATGTCTAACCTCAATCAATCCTCAATATTGCTTAGACATTCTCTATTATCTTTTGAAGACAACTGCTTCGCACTAGACACTTTTGAACTCTAATGGTTATGGCTTCTCACTAGAACTTCGGAAATTTTTTGAGATCATGTTTTAATCCTACTAAGTTTGGTTGTTCACTCAAAGAAAGGAATTAGAGACTATTAATTAAGGTTGTTTGAGAGTTTTGTATGAAATTTGGGTAGCCACCGAGTACCACCTCTAGTGTTAATACAGATAGTGTGTCGCAAAGAAGAGTATGTAAACCGATCTTAAATAAACGGGTTTCATCATTAATTATGTGTATCTTGAAGTAACATCACTTTAAAAACTATCAGAAACTAGTATGTAATATACTACTTTTTTATATTATCATTGCAGTGAGCAGGAGTAACATCTCACACTATTAGAGATTACTACCGAAAAACAAAATGTTTCATGGTAAAAAATAAGTTATTAAATTTTGACTGCTTAATGATCACTTTGGTTGATTCAATGGTAAGTAGACTTTGATGTCCAGGCTTCGATCCCAGGCACAGTGAAGTGTCTTCACTATAAACAAATCCCAAACTAAAATGGATAAACTGTTCTAGCTCTGTTCAGTTTGTTATGAAAAGTATTTGTATATAGGTTACAGATTCAGATAAGATACAGTTTGCAATTAATAGTGAAAATTAAATATGTAACAGATAACTAGTATCTTTTCCCAGTTGAAATGTTCACAGAGGGTAAGGAAAAAGTTTGAACAAACTATACAACATTGAAGACTCATTTTTAAATGAAAGAAATTTGTCAGAAATTTGAATCTAAAATATGGCTGAACAAAATAATCAATATTTCTGGAGATAGTTCTGAGTAGATTATTCCTGAAAATAAGGTACAGAAGCTCAGGATGAAAACACACTAGAACTCTGAACTTGATCATAAAGATGATGTATGGTGCAAGATCGAAGAGTAATTGGCTTCTCACGATTGTTCAGTTGACGAGTTTAGTTCACAATGAGAACTTCATCGAATAATACTTTGCTGTTATTCATGAACCCGTAAAACTTTCTTAAACTTCTACTTGAAAGAAATAATTTGTATAATATTGGATGGAAGTTGTAAATTAATGTACATTAAAGAACTTAATACGCTAGATTCCAGTCCAGTGATCGAATATCAGTAAGTTAACTCTACCTAGGGGAGGTTAAACTAAGACCTGGCATTAGTCCATGAATTCACTGACTATTGGATAGAGTAGTGCTAGGCGCGAAGTACTTGGTTGGTGAGGTCACGATTATCTTAACTAGTGATTAAAGACATTAGGTGAAATAGCGCAGATGAATTCACTCTTTGTCTTCCTTTAGTTCTTTAGTTTTAAAATCATCTCATCCTTTCTATTCTGTCAGTTTATTTTACTTTCTCATACCATTCAGTCAGTCAGTCAGTCAGTCAGTAACAACGTAGAACTTCGTACGTACGTACATCAGTTCGAGTTGCCACACCACATTAGCACAGAGATGCAGTGGTCGATTCAAATCCAGTAGTGGTAGAGGTAATAAGAGTATAAGCAGTAATCGGGAAAATTAGCGTTTGGAGATGTTATTTAAAGAGTATAATACAGTGAAATAAATTTGGGAAGAGAAAGAAAAGAGACAAGGAGGAATAAGGAGACCAAAATTTGGGAGGACACAAAGAGTGGATGCACCTGCGCCATTGCAAACGATTTCGAGCCATGTCATTCAAAGTCTCTAACCATCGGTTGCTATCATCTCGCGGTCCCCAACCAGGTAGTCTACACCTACCAACATGACTCATACATGTCTCATACCATTCATCTATAACTATACTTTTCTGCTTTAACTGATACCGTTACTACTTCTGTTACTCTGGTATTTGTTTTCTCAACTTCACATGATATGCTAACTAGAACATATATGCCAGGTTCTACGATCCCTACAATTAATTGACTAAGTTCCCTGTATCATACAAATAAAATAGTAATAAAGTACTCAACGTTGAATTATCAGTCATTTAATCAATCATAATAAATCAAATTAATTTTAAGTGTAGAAGTGCTAAAATGGTTTTACTTTTACCTATTATTAAGATTAAATATTGCGAAATAATTATGGAAGGTGATGAAATGTAATTAGGTGAACAACTAGTCGATGTACAAAACTTGTATCCTACAATTATTTACGCTTTTAACTTATTCGAACAACATTATTTTGTGTATCACTTTTATTTTACTAAACAATAATTTTGACAGTTGAATTGCTGAATTGATCTAAGCTAGATCACCATTGAAAACCTGGAAGTACCGGACGGCCGTTTCGTCCTACTATAGGACTCCTCGGCGATGCGCATCCACAACCCTGCACGTGGAGCTCAAACTCAGGAGCTTCAGTCACGCACGCGAACGCTTAACCCTTAGATTTCGTGGATGAGCACCGCTAAAGAGTCCCATACTAGGAAGAAACAACCGTCCAGTGCTTTCAGGTTTTCAATGGTGGTCTGGCTTAGATCAATTCATCAATTCAACTATTAGAATTACTATAGTTTCCACAAAAATCCCCATTCTGATAAACAATAATTAATATATTTCCTAACCAGTTGTACCACTTCATTATTCGGCAGATTTTGTCAGTAATTAGATGTTATCAATCAAATATGATCGAATATAATTCTATTTATCATTCAATAACAAAAAAAAGAACTCATAACTAACCACTTCAATTAAAATAATTAACCATAGAACACTAAATGTACAAAATCATATGTATATTTTGTTATTCGTTAAGTAATGTTTGAAACATCATAGATACTTACAGAAAACTAAGCTAACACTAACGGAATGTGTTTAGGATACAACCTTAAAACATTGTTGATATTCGTAATTATATCAGTTCAACGTTTCATGTGTATCAATGCTCTGCAACTTCATTTTTATGTTTACATTTTACAATTGATATTCTTCCGTTTTGACATAAAATTATTTATAATTATCTTCAATATTCTTTCTTTACAAAAACTTTAGTTCATTTATTTAGGGTATACTACTGAAGTAAATAAAAACTTGATGGGTATAAACAATTTACTGTTTATATCAAAATTATAGTGTTTTTTATAAAATATGAAAATCATAAATGTAATACATTATTTGCATATCTTCTTTCAGTTATCCTTTACATGTTTCATGATTCTTTCCATTTTTGTAGTTAGAACAATTGCGCTTTATTATTTACAGTTCTTTTCTCTTCAGTTTAATCTTCTCAATCTTCTACTGACAGGCATTTCACTTCTAATTGCTGCTATATACTGCTTATATCTGTCAGCATAAGTAGCATGCACCATACTGCTAGTACTACTAAGCTTTGAGCAAAATATCTTATATGAGGAGTTGATGATACTTTCCCAAGTTGCAAAACAACCGAATCCAATGGGGTGTTGGATTCTGAAATGTAATCTAATGTTGAATATTTGAGTGTTTTAACTACTTAGTTATCATTCACATTTATTTATTCTACGAGAGCTCACTGTAAATATATGTGATAATTCGATAATAGATAAAACTGTATTTTTTTAGTTACTGTCCACAAAATTTTGAGAATTACTTAAACTCACTTGACGAAGTGGTTTACGCATTTTTAAATACTCTGCATAATATGTCATTGCTTCCCATGAAGCATGTAATTTAACAAAGACTAAATTATCTGGAGTCATCAAAATTGTTTTGTCATCCAAAGCTTGGTGACGATAACGATCCATGCACGATGGTGGACTTGTATCTGTTGGTTTATCTGGTTCTGCATAATCAATAGATGAAGTAGGCATAAGAGATTCAGAATATTCTCCTGGGTGAAGAGGTGCATTGGCCTGTAAATGCATAAATGATGGTTTAAGAGTTAATGATGAAAATTCATCTTCATTTGATGCTACCGTAGCACCAAGTAGATTACCATTAGAATCTTCAACCTAATGAGGGTAAATAAAAAAAAATAGGAAAACATTATTTATAAAATTTATAATACACTCATAAAATAATGATATATCAATTAAATATATTTAATAAGGTAACTTATTCTATTGGAATGAGTTTAATTGAGAAAACAATATGTGATTTTACTTGAAGAACATGCAAATTAGTTCCAAATATGATAACATACATAAAATACATACGAGAGAAAGTTAGCCATCATCAATAAAGAACCTGGCATAAATAAAATCACTATACCAAGTCAGCACAACGAAGGAGGATTAACAAGAAAATAAAAAAGGAATTACAATAAGTTTAGTAGAACTGATGGTGAGATAGAATAAACACTGAGTATATCATAAATGAAGAAATGAAAAGGTATGCATGAAAGGATGCTGGAACTGAAGATTTAGTGGAAGACGAAATGTGGATGAATGTTAGCGATTGTAACGAATTCTGACTGATGTCACCAATGCCTCTAACCAAAGATTTTGGTTATCACACGGACACCAACCAGGTAGTTTGCATTTTTCAATACGGCTTGGTCTGTCAGTCAACGACTTCACAGACTGACACTATCTTAGTTTGGCCATTCCTAGCTTTTTTATAACATACTCCTGCTCTAGCCCACAGCACGCTGAGGCAGGCAGTGATTAGATATACGTAACATATCTCAGTCGTTTCTGTCGACGATATTTACAACCTCACTAACCAACATCCCGACCTTGACTGCTACACTCAATTATTGTTCATCCAGTCATTCCATGATACGCAAGTAATTCTTGTAAGCCCCCAAATGCCCTGGTACGGCCGAGAGTGGGGAGAGTCCGCTCTCCCTCTCGAAACGCTCTCACATGGCCACGCGTATACAGCCTCTGCCAGGGAAGTCCTACTCACTGCCTTCTCGTGGCGGGGGTGTTGTTTACGAAAATGAGAGGACGAAAAGCGAATGTCTGGCGCTTTAACCAGATTCCAAACCAATGGTGCACATGGACTCCAGTATCCTGCGGGAACAAATGGCGTACGAACCAATTGTTGGTCACCGGCTTCCATTGTACTGCATCTCCATACGATGCTCCACTGCCTTGTGGATCAAACCTTCAGGTCGAAGGCTCGGGGATTGGCCCCCTAAGAAAACCACCTGCTTCGGTTTGGGCACCCGGGCAGTATCACAGCCCTCACACATATCAAATGAGATTTGTGTGGCGCATATGTATTTGGTGCCTCCTTGTAAGACATCGATAAAAAACGTACAGTTTAAGCATCTTCTACTCTAATAAACCGTGCTTAACATCTATAGAGAAATATAGACCATACATACAAGTAAATATGAAGCCTCTTTTCATTTTACTGGCTCAGTGCTTGAAAAAGTGCTATCTCACACCTTTTGTAAATAACGTTTACCAGTTTTTAGGCAACTCGAGTGGCAAACGACAGATATCCGAATCAAAAAGTCAATACAACAGAAGAACCGGTTCTGACTTCTCGTTGTTAATTACCTATAAGAGTTATAGTGATTATTTGTTTGATAAAGAATAGTTGGTTTGTAACAACATCATCAAAATAATGAAGATTTTGCACTAAAAGGTCTGTCTGATCAAACATACACATACGCTGTAAAAGTCAATTTCAATTATTAGAAGTATTAAGATTTTAGAAAATTGTTCAAAGTGCTTTTACGATAGACGCAGATATCTACTTCAAAAGGATGAGTAATACCCTAAAAAAAAGTTTTTTCCTTTAGAATATGACGGTTCATTTATTACTTTGTCCTACAACTATAACGCATTCTAAATCTCAATTTACTAACTCCTAGTTTGAATTGTCAAAATGCTTTAACCTCATGTCTGATATTGCTAATTATTATTGATTGCTTTCATTATCTGAACATTAGCGCAATCTGTTTTTACTTACAAGTTGGATCACTCTACTTCTCTTGTTATTCTCTCTGATTTTTTCACACATGAGGTTCATCACATTTCTAACATACAACATACTTTCACACTAGATGCAAACTTACCAAAGGTTGAGTGTTATAAATTGAACAAACATGTACATCAAGTATGCAGGTTCTTGAGTCGATAGAAGAGTAAATTCAGTTCTACTTTCAAAATAACACCATTTTTAGCATTAGAAATTATCTATGGTTTTAATCTGCGTAAAAAAATCATTCTTTTTAATAAAATATCCTAGATTATAATCAAAGAGGGATATTCTGTATATTATAGTAATTTAATAGTCGAATTCATGAGTCAATTAAAACTAGAGCACCATGGAAAAGCTAGAAGCACTGGACGGCCGTTCCATCGTAGTATGAGACTCTTCAGCAGTGCTCATCCACGATCCCGCCTCGCCAGATTCGAACCCAGGATCTATCAGTCTTGCGCGCGGGCGCTTAACATCTAGACCACTGAGCCAGCATCCAGGTGTAATGTCTTTTGTTATTTATTTGAACACATAAATATTGGTACAGGAGGGCACCAAATATATATGCGTCACACAAAACAATTAGAATTTGCAGAGAAGGAAAAAAGGTAAGGAGCGTAAAAAAAACGATAACGAACAGATTAATGTAAGGTAGTGTAATAATAATAATGAGGGAAACAGAAACGTACACTCAGAAGAGATCTTTCAGTTAAGGAAGAAGCAACCACTTTTCATGAAGAAAGTAAAAGGTTACAGCAGGATCGCCACTGGCTTCTATTCTGAGCCATATCTGATAACGTCTCTACTCGAGAACGTTTAGATAGAACCGAATTTCCACCATAGACGAGCTGCTGTATAAGTCGAAAAATAAGGATAGACAGAGTAGGAATAAAAGAGTGAATAAATGACGTAGTAAATAATAAGAATAGTAATAATAATAATGTGAATCGTTTGATTAATAGCTGAAGTGTTAATGTCTAACCTCAACTAATCCATGAAACGGCCGTCCAGTGCTTCCAGGTTTTCTATGGTGGTCTAGCTTCAATCGACTCATGAATTTAACTATTAAAATATCCTAGATTACTGAGCGACTAATCATACCGCTTGGATTTTACAATGTTTCAATTTGATAACTATTAAACCTCCTTAAAAACATAGAACCTCTGTGAGATTCGATGAAAATCTAATCAAAACATTATGACCCCCGAGATCTATAAGTTTGTATAACAATTGAATATTATGAAATGTTTGTAGATATAAACAACCATGAATAACAAAACAAAATAAATGTTAAACATTACCCCTTTTACAAGAGGTAATCGATAATATCAGAGAAGTATATTTTTGTGTACGAATAGAGAAAATGATGACAATTACGATAAATTCACTTTTAATTGATTTTAGAAAGTTTTCTTTACAAAACCTTCAAATTACTGTGCATTTTTATTGGTGGCTCTAAAACGTTCTGTTGTGTGTATGTAAATACACAATGAGTTGACAACTAATATCCATGTTTATGAAATGTTTTTGACAGACATGAGATTGTTAGGTGCCTAAAATTTCATTGATTCCTAACACCAAACTGATGTAAACAATTCAAGCAACGTATGGAGGCTAGATAAGAGGCGATTTTACTTTATCAATAAATAACTAAAGTATTCAAATATCAGCTTAAAGGTCACACGTTCGAATGCTGTGTCAGCATCCTAAATTTGGGTAAAGGTTGATATCATTAACCTCCCTTGAAAAAAAATAGGCTCAAAACATATAGTTGGTAAATGAGTTGCACTATTAACAAAAGCTAGTACAATAAATGTAGTTCTGGTTAACTTTTGATGAAATTTTGGTATTCAAATCATCTGAAAAGGACAATCTTTAAATACTTCATTATATATATCATTCTACTCTATTGTCAGTCGCTTATTCTTTGCTACTATTATCCTTATAGGATTGTTTTTATGCGGTTTCAATTACACATACTTAGTGTTTAAGAAGAGGACTGAACGACAGTTTTATCCAAAAAATCTTCAATAATTTTCTTTATTCTTATGCAGTATGTTATTTATTTATTTATTTATTTGAACATGTAAATACCGAGACAAGAGAGCACCAAAATATATATGCGCCATACAAAAAAATGAAGCTGTGAAGAGATAAAGACAGGTGGGTAAATAGTTTTTAAAAAGGAACAAAGAAGAATAGAAATCAATGTATAAGAGTGGAATAATAATAATGGAAGAAGCAGTTCAGTTAGGAAAAATATAACCAGAAAGAATTTTTCGAATTAAAGATGTTACTCTCAATTTTATGAAGAAAGTAAAAGAAAGCTACAGCCACTGACTACTACTTTAAGTCATGTCTGAAAACATTTCAATCCACTGAGTTGTATCATTTTAAGAACACCAAACAAAGAATAATTAAGGAGCAGCAAAAGCCAGTCCATTGTAGCTTTCTTTGATACAACACCATGTCATACACTGACTACCTATCTGCTCCCTCCAACCAGTTCCAAGATATCAAATTAGCTGAGAAGACATTCGTAGTGTAAGTCCAAGTCACTAAGGCCGATGTTTCAAGGTGGTGACACTAATTGAATTATTTTTGCAGTCACTGAACACACGTTTCCAAACCTCTGCACTACTACCATGGTGTTAACGATGAAAGTCAGCAATCCGTTGGATACAACAGTGATCAAACACAAAAGGTTGCTTAACATCCTCAACTAAGAGGCCATGTTTCGCAAGCAGACAGAAAAACTCTCACCGACTCATTATAGGTCCGACTTTATGCAGTCAGATGACGGCACGAAAGATGGCCCAGATTGACAGAAGCCCCTCTGGTTTTCACCATGCGTGAATTGTTCTCATCACTCACGCCACAGTTACCCAGGTACACGAACTTTCCAACTACTTCTATCCGCTTACTACCAAGAATGAGTGCAGGTTCGAGGTCCTTCTATTCTTCTAAAAGAAATTTCCACTTAGAAAGTGCAAAACACATGCCATACCTACGGAAAATGACTGACAACTGATGAAATAACGATTTCATGGCTTGGGTATCATCGCACAGTAAGACAGTATAATTGGCATGCTTATTGTCAAAACGTCTTTCTTTAGGCAATGGATACAAACCACCATTACTTACACCCATAGGCGCTGTTTCCAGAATGTCATCGATAGCAAATTTTAGGAGAGATGGTGAGATTGGGTAACCCTGCCTAACCCCACTACTTGAATGAAAAAATAGAGAGGTTGTTGTGTGCCCTCACTCTGCCTGAGGTGTTTTCGTATAGGGCCTTCAAAACGTCAATAAACTTCCCGGCCACACTCTTCAACAGACAATCCGAGGGAACGGTCCTGTCCAACGAATAGAAGGCGGACATGATGCCACGAAATACCACGACTGTTAGCCTGGAATTAGTATGGCGGTATTCTAACATTTGGAGAAGGTTGAAGATATGATCAACGAATTCTCTACCGGAACGAAAAGCAACCTGCTCCTTGTGAGTCAATCTTTATCGTGCATTTAGGGCTTTTTTATCCCCAAAATATTTGTTAGTAAGTCCTTAAGTGGACCCAAGTCACCTGTCTGTTATTCAAATAACTTATTTTAAAAAATGTCTATTAAGAGGAACTGATAACACACAAATGCTTTACATAAGTACTAAGTGCAAATGAATTTGATGAACGTTATCATCAACTTAGAATCAGACATCAAATACTTATAAGAACAGAAACTAGAAATTAAAGATAAAACTGAGCATGCATTCTTGAGTTTATTGACCTAGCATGCCAATTATTAAAGGTTAATGGTGAGGTATTTATATTCAGAAAGCCAACAAGTTTCATTAGTGAAATATTGTAACAGATGCTTTTCTGTGAGTAACTTAAAAAAAGACACTACAAAAATATTACTAGATTCTAATGGAACAGTCATAAAACACAGTGGCCACCTTGTGGATCGTTTACACATGATTCACGAACTTAAAGAGAGAAATAGAACACTTTTACTTACTTCTATTTCTATTTTCTGTTTTGCTAGCTCATTGAGAAACAGGAGGCGTCGGTTTTGATCATTATATTTCGACGTAGAAAACCGATAAGCAAGCACATAATCAGTTCTGCGTTTACCATCCCGGAAATACAACTCTGGGTTAGTCTATGAAAACAATAATGATAACAAAGACGATATGTTTAATTTCTACGGAAACCGTACACAATAAACAAAGTAGCTACAACGTTTCACTTCTCCATTATGTTTCACTTGGGGAAAATTTATACAAAATTTACCATATTTGTTGGTAATTTACTGACATTATTAACAAAATATTGTATCTCTGAATATTCCTGGTGACTACATATGAGTACAAAATGATTATAAGTGAGAATCTGGAGCACGAGTTTGACATTTCACATATTCTATGCAATTAAAAATGGACAAGTTGTACATTGTTATTTCTACAATGTGAAATCCTAAAGTTGAAAGCCACCCAATTATGAATATTACTTGGATTAATGAGACGAGCTCCGAAGTAATTTAATGTAATATGCCAAGTAGTTAGTTTCCAGTTGGTTGTATTAAATTAAACTATTCGTTGATGACGAACTTGGTATGACTATCTCGGAACAAACTATGGCAGATCTGATGATTTAAACTGGGAAGCCCATACAATTTAGACAAATACAAAAGTATATAATGGCTTGTGGTCATTATCTGGCTTCGGTATCACCTTTTGCAACCTAATACTTTAGAATGAAACACATTGAGTTTGCTAATGATTAGTGACAAATATCCTGTGGTTTGGCAATTCGTGAAATCGGCTTTGACAATTAGTTGTGGATTCAAATCCAGCAATACTACTTGTATTTGGGGGGCCGAGTTTCAACACATTTACTTATGACTTGTAACTCACAGTAAGCTAAAAGGAATTATTTAGATACTAAAATACAAAAATCAGTTTTCAGAATGTTATCGATAGCAAATTTTAGGAGAAATGGTGAGATTGGGTAACCCTGCCTAACCCCACTACTTGAATGAAAAAGTAGAGAGGTTGTTGTGTGCCCTCACTCTGCCTGAGGTAAAAGATGAGGACTAGATAAACCTGCCTTTTTAATTTTTATTAACGTCTACTCCGTTGTTACATTAAACACTAGGAATGCTTAAACATTTTCTATAACAGTTAATCGCACACGATCGATCGATTATCAACATTAACCACTACATTAGACCTGCTTCGGTCTAGGCACCAGGGCATTATCACAGCCCACACACAAATCAAGTGACTTGTGCGGAGCATATGTATTTAGTGCCCCTTTGTACCAATGTCTATATGTTCAAATAAATAAATAAAAACTGCATTAAAGAAAGTGAAAAACTTACAGATGTGTACGTAGACGTAACACAACCGACTCCTGAGTCCATATGCTACATTCAACAAAAAGTACTGGTGATAAATAAATCAGAATAACAACATGCAAAGACGGAAATAGATACAGAGACCTAAGAACTTTCAGTAAGTGATGCAACAAACCGAATGTGTCTACGAGTACATATGAAATGCAGCCGCACATAAAATTGACAGCTCGGCGATATATGACCGACAACGTTGACCTGGAATTCTTACATTTTTTTAAAATGTGAAAATACTTCCTATAATTAGCTTGTCTCTAGAGTACATTGACTTAGCATTACAAATGTGAATGTCACTTCACATTAATACATCTCAGGCATCGTCTGTTTGTTCAAAAACCAAAACGGTCAGTGTTCTGAGCATGAAAGACGTTTGGAAGGCAACAAATTCGCTTGATCTGAACAAACATCACCAATTAAACTTTTAAATGTTCACTTAACTGACAGAATTCAGATACGTATACCTACGATAGACTATGCTGCCTAGTAACCGCCATTATCACAAGTCGATATACGATCTATAACCAATGCAACAGTCGATATCATCGAACCTGAAACTAAGAAGGAATAAATTTGGCTTTAAACGGTAACATGGAAAGTTAACTTTGGTCCCATACGTAAGTAACTCATGATGAAGCGGTGTGAGTATTGAGCCACTCGTAGTTGTAGAAATGACAAACAATTTTGCGTACTACATCTTGAAAACGATTTCATCAAAAACAATGTGACTTCAGCTGAAATTTAGGTTTGAAGAACTTTAGTTGCAGCAGAGTTCATGTATTTATATGTGAATAACCGTATAATCATATTTCGTGACTTTCCACTCGATCTACGTTCCCGTACACGCTACTCCCTGTTATCAGAATAATCTTAAACCCAGAATTATAAAAACTTGAGGGACACAGAAGAATAAAATAGCAATAGTTTATTTAGTAAAAGGATGAAGCCACACTTGATTTTCCGCCTTACAAGTGTCCTTGAATCCCCTATACGTAAAACTTATAAAGATTTCTAGTTCCGGAAAATACTTCAGATCTTCAGAACTATGACTTTTGGTTTTATAGGTAGGAATAGGTGATTCGCCAAAAGCAAGCCAAGCGAGTTTATGCATTGTGAGACTCTCCAAGTTCAGTGCTAAGAAAGCGTACGCTTCCTTACGTAAGGGAACAAGGATGAAGTTGCCTGAATTTAACACTGGTTTAATATTCCTATGGTAGTTTTCCGGCTTCTGCCCACCAGATCAGTTGTCGTAAACGAGTGATTTGTTTACAAATCATATTATTTCCCAAGATATTTGTTTCATAGTTAATCATATTACGTTTTGAACAGATTTTCTGGAATTTTATCATTCTTCAGTTGTAAGAATAGTAAACTGTATGATTTCAGACTATGAAGACGCTATCTGACTTTAAAATTCTCGGCGAGGGGTATTTTGCTATATGTTCTGTTTGAGAAATGTAGTATTTCAAGGCTCTATCCGGGAAATGGACTTTTAAATGTAAAACGATTCATTACTGCTTTTGAACTTTCTGAAGATATCCGCCAGACAGTTTGGCTACGACTAGAGAAATGTCTGAAAACTGCGGCAGCGAGTTGTTGTAGTAGAACTCTTACGATTACTTTTGATAACGCTTAATCCCTGTCAATTTCACTAATCTGACAATGTTATCGACATAGTAACAATTCGTTTATGCCTTTGTATTAGTGAGATCGCTATCATACCTACGTAAACGTGCGTATTTGATTGCCTATTTTACAGCCCATGCATATTCTTGTCTAATTCAAACCCTGGTTGCTTAAATATAGCTCGATGTAATATTCTCCTTCTGTCACATATATATGCTTGTATTAAAGAGAAACTGTACTTTGATTCACCGTGTTTTTATTTGGTGTGACCATGGATTTGCCTCCATATTTGCTTGCAACAATTCGTTGACCGATGATGGGTTTGTAATTCTGTGGTCCGCACGATCAGCTAACAATTTAGTTGCAGCCTATCGCTTTTGAATTTAATCCTGTGAGTTTCATGTAGTGACGATTATTAATGTGAACGTCTAACGAGGCAATGCGCATTACAGTACTACCAGACCTTGTTCAACAGCAAGACGACGAGAGTAGATTATTTCGTTCAGTTCTATTTTTATGAGACCAGTCAGAGTAACATTCCATCATTTACAACTATTTAAGGACTGAATATTGACGAATGTCAGGTGTTGATAGAATTTTATTGACTAAGTTGCAATGGGCCGTTTTTCTTATCGACTAGATATCGCCTAAATTAATCATGAAGAACACGTTTATATGATTATGGTTTGGTTCGATATTACAATTACTATAAAAGTAGACCTCATCCCCAAAATTTTAGATTTCTCATGATTTGACTACTCAATATATAAATCTTACGTGGAAGTCACATCATTGTCTACTCGGACTTGTCCTATCGTAAGGATCGGCACTATAACGTCTAACATTTCCGAGGAACAAACCTGGGCTGAGCAGAAGATAGTATACTTGATATAAGATTCAATAGGTTTCACATAGAGTGACCACGTCTGCACGACCGAGTCATGCCATCCTGAATGATTTTTCACGCGTTCTTCATCACTGATCTCCTCCAAGTGCTACATAATAATAATTATGTGTTCAGCTTCGTGAATTGTCTAGTTAGAACCATTGTCGCTGCACACACTCCTTATCGAAAAGGTCATGAGAATGTGTGGTGGTCGGTATTCGACATAATCCTTAAACTTCGTATACAGCTCGTCTTGATAACTGTTCTATATAACGTCCCAACGGTATATTAATCAGAAGGCAAATACGAAGTGTTGATTACGTTTATTGCGAGACCACACATATATATCCAAATGTACAGATGCGTTAAACAAACATAGAAGAGTTGTGTCGAAAGGCAAGCAAGCGAGCGAGAGCAAGAGCAAGAGCGAGACGAGAGTGTGTGTGTGTAATATGAATAACATGGACATATATATACCATGTGAAATGAATGAGTAATCGAATCAAATAAGTAGTTAGTAGTAAGACTAGCAGAGTGAATAAATGCGTAGGCCGTAATCAATATTCGAGCATACGTATTTCATACAAGCACAAAATAATAAGGGTACAATAAGTTGTTATAGTGCGGATGACTTTGTCCGCTAAATGAGTTAGCAAAAGGGCTTAACTGAGTTAAATGAGAATGAACTCAATTGCACGTGAGTCACTATAAATGTATTTCACTGGACCACATTTATCTTAGCTTTGTCGTTATCCGAAGAATTAGATGTTGCAAACAAAGTGCTCTCTAGCACGAGAGTCTCAACGATATAATTCCTAACATCAAGAGAAACTTTTAGTTCAATTCTATACCTCATCGTTATTAATGACCTCTCAAACAAAATCACTTCACCAGTTCTCCCATATTCTGGCAACGCCAAATTGTGGAGTGCCACAATAAAAAAGAGGACTGACTCGGTAATTATTAGAAATTCAACCTGTTACAATGTCTTATTGTAAACACACACTCAAAAGTAACATAAACAGCTTACGTACTCTAAGAAAATCAGTCAAATTTGTAGATCATCAACGTTGATGATCTATGTCGAATGATTGAGGGCCTACTAGAGTTAGACAGGAATGGTGTGCGAACCAGTTAACTTCGAAGTCACACCTCGCGGTTATCTCCTTACGTGGATTACTGCATCAATGTATCAAGGTACTATATAAGCTTTGTAGACTGCACGACACAAAGGACGTTATTACAGGAAATGTATTAGTAAGAATGTGTACAGAGAAAATGGCGAGATCACCACCACATCGGCCAGTCCATGACATACGATTAACTGATGCTCATTAGTTGTCCTTGACATTATCGAGGATCGATTATTTGTTCGATACTCAGTGACCCAGCTGCTGAATGATTTGGCTAGGGCTCAGTGACATTTCACTGGCCCTACAAATCTATCCTCAGAATGCGATCTAGGGATATTTTGTTAGGTTCTAGTTTCTAAATCCGGTGAAAAATCGTGAAAGTGACAAAGCTGTACTGAATGCACGGACCTACATAATATGTTGAGACCTAAAACCATCAAACCGAGAGGCGTACTCACACCGAACGGATGTTACATGTCTTTCGGACGTTGTTCCAGAGCCCAATGTGCGTCTGGAGTATCACGCCCAATCAACACTCCTACCAGATTACTTTGCAACGCCGGAAGGGTGATGTCTTTCAAATGCTTCCACTATCCCAGGTGTTCCTCGCTTAAAGGTTCTACATAATCGATCACAAACTTCTTATTCGTATAAGCCTTGTTGATTTCCACAGATCCCTGTTTATCCAAATAAAATATCTTCAAATTTACTTTCAAACATTTACAGGTAGTTGTCCCATTCACAGTGGTTATTGTCATCGAAGCCTTTTTACTCTCGATACCCAACTGATTAAATAACTCTTCGCATACGAGGGAAGTATCTGAACCATTATCTAGAAGGGTGTAAGTTTCCAATGTTCCACTCGGACCATACAGTCTGATCGGAATGATACCCAAACAAACATTTGACGAGTCTCAATCCCTAACTAAGTTCACTACTGGTTATTATTACTATCAATATGTATCAATGAATTATACCGAATCTTGCAATTATCAAGGTCACACTTGGTGTCCGAGTTGCATGACTTGGCTATGTGACACTCCATTAAACACAGGTAACATAGACCACGTCTCCTCACTTCCTGTCGCCTTTCTCTAACATTCATTTTGGATAACTTCATAAAATCCGCCTCTTTTTGGTCACCTAAACGAAGTTCGCAACTTCAAATCTTGAATGAGTTCCTTGGGTCCCACTTAACTACATTAAAGCGTGATCTCTTATCAGCTTGGCCTTTATAATTCATTTTGCCAAACTTTGAGTTACACTGAACCAATCTACCATAACGTGTTCGAGCAATACTGGCTCTTTCTTCCACAAAGGTCTCAACTTCTTCAAAGATCGGCTCTTTCCCAGCCACCATGGTCTTATCGGCAACTTCCATCCACATATTCTGTAATTCTAGTGGTTGACATTACACAATTATTTCCGAATTAGCCGTAGACTTCACATCAGACATATACTCCATTTCCTTCAATGTTATGCACGAATTACGCAGCTTAATTGCGAAGTCAGTTAAGCTGTCGGATGATCCTTCAACAGATTTGTGGTTAAGTAACTCAGTAATCAGTACGCAGGTGACAAGGTATTCCCTACCATACAGATCATATAAACTTTGTTTAACTATGTCAGAACCCAAATGACTGGTCAAAGAAATGCAAGCTTCACTAGCCGCCCTGGCCATTCCTTTACAATAATATAACAAATACGACAACAACTTTCCATCATCGGACAGTCTACTCCCCACAATGCTGGTAGACTGACTCGATTGTTCATAAAATACATCATATCAATTTTAGGTAAAACTGTAGTGGCATTGGACCATAACCACACAATCTTCAAAGCTGAACACAAGACTACTCGGAAAATAGATATTCAATATCTAACGCGGAGAAATACCTAACGATGGAAAAGGCGGGAACAGTAATTGGATGAATTGGAGTTGATCGCATGGCATGGCTCGGCCACGCAGGCGTGGTCTCTATCGAATGTTACCTTATATCTTCTATTCATATTAAATGTATTGTTCCTTCTCTAGCCTAACCTTGTTCTACATCATGTATTGGTAGTTGATACGATACAGTGAGTTGGTGTAGTCGATGGTGTGACTTCCACGTAAGATCTTATAGATTAGGCAGTTATATCATGACAAGTCTACAATTTTAGGATTAGGTCTATTATTAGAGCAGTACTAATATTATAGCAGACCACAATTCTGCAAAACCATATTATTAACCACAGTATGTACCATATCCTTCAACTCATCAACTCAATCGCCCTTTGAGATGCTAAATATCTCTCTTGGGTGACTAGTACAGCTAGTATCGCAATCAAAGTGGCTTTCCACCTTAGCATTTATTTTACAATTGTCTACGGACAGCTGGTTATCGTCCTCCATGATCTTACATTCTAATTCAGCCATATCAACCTCTTCTTAAGCTGCACTTCTAACTCAAGTATTTTTTCTAA